TGAATAACATTGTTGCTATTTATGCTATCTCAACCGAAAATAGATGCAATGGATAGCTGGCAAAAAAATACAAATTTAAAATAAAAAAGTACCCTCTATGACCAACAAGAGTCAAGATAAGAATTTTTTTGTAAAAAATCGTAGCGCAATTGTTTATAAATATTAAGACTTGAATTTTTCGCAAAATAAACGATTTCTCGTGAATTGCATTGAAAAATGTTGAAAAAAGTTCAAATTGATGCGCGCTGTAAATTTAGCAAAATCTCGGCTTCTATTCATCACAGAAACTTATTTTTGTTTTCAAACTGGGGTAGCTCGACGGAAAAATAAGAATGGGCATATTTACGAATTCGTAGAATAGCCCTGAACCCCAGAAAAAATGCATCTTTTATACTTAAATTTTTTTAATTTACAAAAATGTCACATAAATTATTGTTAAACGAAATATTAATTAAAATTTCCATTTCGGAATTATTTTGTATGACAAAACCTTGAACTTGTCATAGGTTTTATAAAATTTTAACAATAAATGCGATAGTTATAAACAAATTAAAAAATTGCCACTTTTCTTGTTTTTTCGCAATAACTTTTTTGTTTATTAACCAACTTTAATTTAACAAGTCTCATTTTGTAGATAATTTTACTCCCTGCAAGCTGTCTCGGAGTCACTTTTCGCTAAAATTGATGGTTTTCCCCGAAAAGTGAAAAAACTGTTTTCCTGACTTATTTGTTTAAATAGAAAAGTTAGCTAATAAAAGTTTTTGACTCACGGGATGAGAGATGTCTTGTATTATGTTCCCTTAGACAATTTTACAATAATCTCGCGGATACGACTTTTTCCGAGTAAAAATTTAATTTGCTTGGTCTATTTGTATTTATCGTCCGCCTGTATTTTCTCTCTGTCCATCAACCTGCCTTTCTATTGGCAATTTTGTCTATCTTCCTGTCTGACTAAATGACTAAATGTTTCTATCTGTATGTTTTTCTGCCAACCTGAATGAGTTTGAACAAAGATATCAGGGTGTTTGGGAGAAGAAAATGTCGCAGACTATTGCTGCAATCTAAAGAGAGGCACAAATAAAGCACTAAAAGAAAAACGATTCGAAGATTATTTCAGGAACAAAGTAAGCGCTCTCGCCCGAATTTCGACACTTATGCGGAGAAGTGAATTCATTTGTTGAAGGTTTTCAAAAGTTTCTTTTTCATCTAGTTTTTTTGTGCATTTACGCAAGACCGAGAAAGGATGGTAGGCAGAAAGGTAAGAAAACAAACTGACAAGAGGACAGACAGACCGTCAGTCGACATTTAGGCAGAGAGTGGCACCAGTGGTGTTTCAAAAATTAGTAACACGTTTCTATAATTTTCTTTGGTGTATCTCATTTGCTGACAACAGTTGTACATTTACCCAAGTTCTGAATGACCCTGTATATGATTCTCTGTAGTGATCTAAATTATGAATTCAAGGAGAACCTATTTTACTTTTTGTCCTTCCAAGATGAATTTTACTGTTTGAATCGTAGAGTGAATCACGTAATCATCTACAGTGATTGGATAATTATACTAATGCAACATTATTTTGGCATTAGTATAATTACAGGTTCCGTTTTTTAAAGGAATTGTCATTGTACTATTATTTACAATTGCTTTTAAGTAGAAAAATATTCATATGCAAAAGCATTATTATTATTTCAAGAACAACTAGTCTTTTGGAATAATAAAGTAGAAAGTTATAGTTTTAAGGTATAAAGTCTTACTTTAAATTGCAATTTCAGCTAACGTGATTTTAAAATGGAACGTTTGTTTTAATTTCAGTGTAAGTTAGTTTCAGAAAGTGCTGTCCTCATAAAATTAACCACTCACTGATAAATCATCGTCGAATGATTCAACTCTGATAATAATTATTTATAGTAATATGAAACAATACTTAAAAGCTTATTAAAAAATTGTGTTTCATTTAAAAAGCTCTCCTGCAATTCATGCTTTTACGTAAGTGAAGTATATTTGATGTGTTCTCTTATCTTCGAATCAGCCAATCAATAAAAGGAGGATAAGTCACAGCAAAATAGATTACAACAAATTTAAATTGTGATCTTATCACCAAATCCCCAAGTAGAGCAGAATTTCATGGATTAAAAGTAAAAAACAAACTGTTCTTCTAGACTATCACCGCTCTTTGAAGAATTTTTCTGGCGGAAATCAGAAAATAGCTTAAATAATCATTTCACAGCTCCCAGTTGCTAGCAATGTATTCTTGCATATTATTTCACATATAAGGCTATTCCTTTAAAATAAACATAATTGTTTAATTTATGGTATACAGTAAAATATATCTTTTGTTGTAATAATGAACAAATAAGAGAAAATATATTGTACTGTAAATATTTACATGGTCTCGCCCTTAATATTTTGCAATTTATTAACGGCAATGAATCACATAACAAACATTTGTATTTTTTTTTTTATTATAATCAAAAATTTCTAAACTTTTTTTCAGGTCTTTAAACGTTCTATGGATGGAAAATCCCTCTCAGCCAGTCGTATCTACAAGAAGATTTAAAACACCTTATTTTATTATGTGAAGAAATTAAGAACATTTTAAACATTTTGTATAATAAAGTTCATAATAAGCTATTATAGTCCAGGCGTTATCTGTTTCGGTTTGGCTAAAACGCATATGATCGGAGATTTTTGCTTTAACGGCTTCTAAATAACATCAGAAATGATATTTTTTCTATGCAAATAAAAAAAAACGTGGGCTTAATTTTTATTGCAAAAAAGTATAAAAAAATAATAAAAACATCATTTTTTTCTTGGATTTCTCAGCGACAACTTAGCAACTATTCATTTTAGACAAAAATGGAAAAGGAAAAAAAGTTTTGTAATTAAATTTTGATCAGAGTTAGTTGCAATTCGAAACAATAATTATTGTTATTGCTAAAATCGAAAAAAATAATTTTTACATAATACCTAATTGTTTAATTTTTTTTTAATTAAAAATCTAAAGCCTTTGAATACTTGAAAATTTCACCACAAAAAGAAGAGCTCTCAAGCTTCAAAATGATTTTTGAAAAATTCAAATCGGACGATTAGGTGAACTGTGGTGATTGTTTAAACATTGTCGCAATTTTCACGCTTATAAACAATTGCAATAATTTAATGTTTTTTTCAATTTTTTTTTAATTTTAAAATATGGTTTGAAAGTACTCGGAAAGACGAATATTAAAAAAAAAACTGATAATCCGCCCATTATTTTCGGAGTTATAGCCCGTTAATTAACCCTTATTTACAGTAAAACTATAAGGGTATAAGGGCTGTTTTTTGAACTAATAGGTTTGCCTTTTCGAGTACTTTCCAGATATAAATTTTCAAAATTTGCAATCACGGGCGTCCCATTTAAAATGTCACTCAAAGATATTCAAGACCGCGTGAAATCAATGAAATATCGAGTTCAAGAATGCTCTGAGTATTGCACCCATTGCGAAGGGCAAATGTGTAAAAATGCTTACAAAATAGTGGAACTAGACAAGAGTCAACAACAAGAGAAAATGATATTTTGCAGTCGCAGGACGAGTAAATCGACGACGAAATAGATTGAGATAAAACTGATGAGGCATGTGAAAAATCACCAACTAGTAAAAGAATTAGATTAGATTAAATGTAAATAAAAATTGAAATAAATAGTTTAAAATTTGAAAAATCATGAAAAGTGTGTACTGTTTATTGAAGTATCCAAAAGATTCTTTTACTTTTTTATATAAATAAACAATAAATTTTAGATAAATATTTTAAANAACTATAAATTAATAGCAATTTTCAGTTGTTTATTTAAATAATTATTGTTTAAACAATTTTATAATATTTAAACAAACTTACTAGTATTACCTGGTGCAACATGCACCAATTTTGGTCGTGAATATTAACATAGAATTAAATAAACATAATAAATTAATCATTTTTTAAAATAACTGTTTATCGGCATGTCAAAAGTTCAATAATCAATAATAAAAGGTAGTTGAAAACATGATAATTGAATTTTTTAAGCTGAGATCGATATCGCCGAGAAATCCAAGAAAAAAATGATTTTTTTGCTATTTTTTTATACTTTTTTGCAATAAAAATTAAGCCCACGTTTTTTTTATTTGCATAGAAAAATTATCATTTCTGATGTTATTTAGAAGCCGTTAAAGCAAAAATCTCCGATCATATGCGTTTTACCTAAGTATACACTTTTTAAAACAGATACCGCCTGGACTATTATACGCATTTTATTTTCCTTGTGATTCAATAATTCCAATGTTGCATTTTTTATCAAATTTACTCGGGCAAAAAAACTAATCCTTTTTGTCTCAAATATAGCTGGCCGAGGTCCAATTTACTATAATTTATTTCAACTATAAATAAATAAATTAATCGTAAAATAGTTTTGACGCTAATATTAGCAATATTTCGAAATTTTTGAAAAAATATTGTTTGATCGATAGTGTTTCATGAATAGTAATATGTTTTATTAATATTTCTTTGGTGAATTACATTTGTTCAGATCAGCTGTACACTAACTAGGTGACCCTATACAGGTTTATTCAGAACTTATCCAAAAAAAAAATGTATGTACAGCGAACTCTTACAAATACTAAAAAAGAAATCAAAATCGAAAATGATTTACAAATACACTTCTGCACGGTACTGGAAACTGGTCCACTCTGTAAAAACTGACCATGCACAAGGGATAGCATGCAGTTGGCGACCGGCTTTCCGGCAAAGTGTAATAAAATATGAACGGACAAAAAATTGAAAGAATTTCTTTCCCAAAGAAAGAAATAAATGTTGTAAGTCCTATTTTATATCAGCAAATTCAACTGCTATTGCCATTGGAACAAATTTTTATACATTTCAAATGATTTGAGAAAGATTAGATGTAAGATTACAACAAATTTAAATAGTGCTCTTATCGCGAAATCCTTAAGTAGAGTAGAATTTCGTCGATTAGAATTGCTTATAAAAGACAAATCTTGTTTTAGAATACTGCAGTAATATTTAGTTGGTGAAATGTCTAAGTTAGTCGGAAAGTATCAGCTCGCGGAAAACAAAAATTTTTATGAATTTTTGTTAGAACTCGGTAAGTAATGTTGACACTTCATTGGGTAATAAATAATAGTATACATTTGGTGTTATAATATTTTTTTTAAATAAAAATGTGCGTTTGAAACTTTTATTCCAAAAAGGAATCACTATATTTCAGGTGTGCCTGAAGATAAAGCAAAAGGAGCAAAGGAAATTAAGGGAACTATTGAAGTTAAAGTAGATGGAAATAAAGTGACTCTAGTAAACGATTCTCCTCCACATGTTACCGATTTTATAATTGGTCAAGAAGTTGAGGAAAAGATTACGGATGAAACAGTACTTAAGGTAAGTACCCAATTGGTGAAAAATAATATTTGCGTCATAAAATAATAGTTTATTTTTTAAAAATGTGATACGCTAAACAAGTTAATCGATATTTCACGATTCACTTGCGTGCACTGAAAAAAGTAATGAGTTAAATTTAATAAAATGTTTCTTCTAATACTCTTTATGTTTTATGTATTAGAGCACTGCGTCCTTAAATGGTAACGTCCTGACAATTTCATCTATAAAGGATGGCAAGCCTTCAGGAAATAGGACACTTACATTCTCCGACAGTGGACTGGAGATGGTAAGCCTAAAAACTTAAACATATAAGTCGGAATAATCTCAATTTGCATCACGTAACGTGAACAGATTTTTCTAAAAAAAAAGTATCTTATTATTAGCAAAAAACCTTTGCATACATAGACTTCTGGTATAAAATAATATTGTGTGTTTCATTTGCTTAGATTTAAAAAAAAATCCAATTAAATAAATTTAAATATATTTAAAATAACGTAAAAAACAAATTTTTCTACTAGACTATAACTCTATTTGAAGAATTTTTGTAGCGGATACCAGAAAATAATTTTTGTGGATCAATTAACAATATCCAGTTGCTAGCAATGCCCTTTTGAATGATATTTCACATTAAAGGCTGTTGCCTAGAAATAAATAAATGTACTTTTTTATTTTATCGTATATGGTAGAATAAATTTTTTCTTATAATAGTGAACAAATAATAGAAAATATATTGGCCTCTAATAATGACAAAATCCCTTAATATGTATATTAAAGTATAAGTATAAGTAAATATCCATGTTCTTGCTATAATCAAAACTTTATAACTTTCTTCAGGTCATCAAAGATTCTAAGGATGGAAAACCCCTCTCAGCCACTCGTATCTACAAGAGGATTTAAAACACTTTATTTTATTCTGTGAAGAAAATAGAAATTTAAAAATTTTATATAATAAACTTTATAATGAGCTATTAAGACTTATTTTACTTTCCTTGTATGACGAATGATTTAAAACTTTTGCATTTCTCTTCAAATTGTCTCGGGTAAAAAGAAACTAATCCTTGTTTTCTCAAATCAAGGTCCATTTGTTGGTGCGCTCTATTAATTATTACCGGTTGCGACCTATTAGAGTGCCACTTGTGACCTCAACTGAAATCTCTCCTATGATTTATCGCTCTCATTTTCCGGTCTAAATTAAATAAAACTTAGAAAATACTATTAAGAATCTCAGTCCATGAACGTAAATCACCAGATATATCTGAAAATAACGGGAATTTCCTCTCGTACCGTACATTATACTCCTCTATAGCGACATGTTTCCCTCTTATAACTAATTAGTAAGGGGATATAAATTTCCCAGTAATTTTAAACTAAAAATCCTTATAACTAATTAGTTTAGTTTGGCAGTTAAGTATAAATAGTATCCTGACATTCTACACGTTAATAACAGAAATGTAACGAATTGTTGGTTGCAATGTAATAAGATCGAAGGACATCAGGATGTTTCGAGTATAAAATTTCTTTAGTTTATTTTACATCTGTCTAAAGTAGAGAAAAAAACGACAAGAAAGACAATGAAGAATAAAATGTTTGCTATAGTGTGCAGATCTAGCTAAAGTGGAATCTAATATAATTTAGTTCTACTATAAACAAGTTAATCGTGAGTGAGTAAATCGTATTTCCAAACAATTTTTGAAAAAATATTGTTTGATCGGTGGTGTTTGGGAATTGGGAATAGTAATATGTCTTTTTAATATTTTTCTTTGGTGTTTCACATTGGATGAGATGACTATCTGAAACGAACTATGAATTCAAGGAATTGCTACTGCGAATAATAATTGCGTTAGGTAGAAAAATATTCATATGCGAAAAGTTTTGGAATAATAAAGCAGAAAAATATAGTTTTAAGGAATAAGTCTTACGTTAAATTGTAGACGAACTATATTGTACTGCAATTTCAGCAAACGCGATCTTAAAATGAAATCTTTATTTCACTTTCAGTGCAAACCCTGCTTAATCACTTATAAATCGTCCGTATTCAAAGTTACATTAAAATGTACTTCAAGGTTTTTAAAGAATTTGCTGTATCTTCAAATCAGACTATCAAATAAATGAAAAATCGTTGAGTCACAACAAAATTTTATACATTCCAAATGTTTTCAGAAAGATTACATGTGAGATTACAACAAATTTGCTCTTAGTGCTCTTATCGCGCGATCCTCAAATAAAGTAGAATTTCATTGATTAGAATTGCTTATAAAAGACGAATCGTGTTCTAGTAACCACAGTGATATTTAGTTGTTAAAATGGCTAAGTTACCAGGAAAGTACGAGCTCGCGGAAAACAAAAATTTTTATGAATATTTGGTGGAACTCGGTAAGTAATGTTGATAATTCATTGGGTAATAAATAATAGTATACATTTGGTGTTATAATATTTTTTTTAAATAAAAATGTGCGTTTGAAACTTTTATTCCAAAAAGGAATCACTATATTTCAGGTGTGCCTGAAGATAGAGCAAAAAATGCAAAAGAAGTTAAGGGAACTCTTGAAGTTAAAGTAGATGGAAATAAAGTGACTCTAGCAAACGATAATCCTCCACATACTACCGATTATATAATTGGTCAAGAAGTTGATGAAAAGATGGGGGAAGCAGTACTTAAGGTATTAAACACCCAACTGGTGAAAAATATAATGTTTGCGTTATAAAATAGTAGTTTATTTCGTAAAAATGTGACGACACATAAAACAAGCTAATCAGTATCTGAAAATACTCACTTGCATTGCCTTTTATGCATGCACTGAGAAAGATAATGAGTTAAGTTTGATAAACCTTTTTTTATACTCTTTATACATTATGTTTCAGAGCACTGCGTCCTTAAATGGTAACGTCCTGACGATTTCAACCATAAGGGACGGCAAACCTTCAGGAACCAGGACTTATACATTCTCCGACAGTGGACTGGAAATTGTAAGTCTAAAAACTTAAACTTGAGAGAAGTATAAAAGGTCGAGATTGTAACTGTACAGATGCAGTAATTAAAAAACAAACAAATACGAATAATTTTTTATTAATAGGCTATGAATGTGCATATTTTTGGAGACAACTTCCTCAAATTTTCGAATTTAATCAAGTCTTTTTGGTATCATTCTTTTTTAATTCCGCAGCATTCTATAAATTCTATTAATTTTAAAGTTTTGTTTATAAATTTACAGTTTCTCGTATATTTTCAATTTTTTTCTAAATTAACGCTGAGAGAAAGGACAGTTTTGCATTTCGTGAGAACAATTGTCAATATTTATAGTTCAATTAATATTGAATAATTGAAAAAAAATAGTAGGTCAAGTCAAATGATATAGAATAAAGTTGTGTTTTAATTACGAATAAAAAAATTGGATATTTGCTTTTAAAAAATTGATTGTACGATGGATATTTTCAATTTTGAAAAAGTTATAGTTTTTAGTTTAATAAAAAATACTGAAGATTATTAGTTGTTTCGTTCTGTACACTTATAAGTCGGAATAATCTCTATTTCTTCTTTTCTAAAATAAACGTATTTTATTATTAGCAAAAACATATTTTGCATATACCTACAGATTTCTGGTGCCAAATAATAATGTGTTTCAGTTGCTTAGATTTAAAAAAAATTGAATGAAATAAATATATTTAACGTAAAAAACAAAGTTTTCTACTAGACTATAACTGTATTCGAAGATTTTTTACAGCGGAAACAAGAAAATAATTTGAAATAAATATACTTTTTTATTTTATCGTTTATGGTAGAATACATATATAAAGTCATCTGCGGACCAATGTTTATATGAACTTTTTGTCATAAAGTCATTCAAATAATTGTCTGTTGAATTTATTGTACACACTTAATTAACACCCTGTATAAGTATTGGTCTCTAATAACAGTATGGTCCCACTTTTAATATTTTGCGATTTTATTAACGACATAACCCTTTTTATATGAAATATTTGTAATTTTTCTTTTCAAAAATATCGAAATATATATATTCTTACTATAAATCAAAACTTTATAAACTTTTTTCAGGTCTTCAACAGCTCTAAGGATGGAAAATCCCTCTCAGCCAGTCGTATCTACAAGAGGATTTAAAACACTTTATTTTATTCTGTGAAGAAAATAGAAATTTAACAATTTTGTATAATAAAAGTTTATAATGAGCTGTTAGACTTATTTTACTTTCCTTTTATGACAAATGATAATTCGTCAAACTTTCTCGGGCAAAAAAACTAATCCTTGTCTTTACTTCTCAAATGAAGCTAGCCGAGGTCCATTTGTAGCTGCACTCTATTAATTTATCGGTGAATAGTTGCGACCTGCCCGAGCTCCACCTGTGACCTCAACTGAAATCTCTCCTATGATTTATCGGCCTCATTTTCCGGTCTAAATTAAATAAAGCTTAGAAAATACTATTAAGAATCTCAGTCCATGAACGTAAATCACTAGATATATCTGAAAAAAAAAAGGAATTCCTCTGGTGCCGAACATTATACTTCTTTGCAGCGACATGTCTCCCTCTTATAACTAATTGGTAAGGGATATATCCATAGAAAATTTCCCAGTAATTTTAGATTCACGTTGATATGGGCATTACCGAAAAAAAATGATAATTAGTTTAGTTTGGTAGTTGANCAAGGTCCATTTGTTGGTGCGCTCTATTAATTATTACCGGTTGCGACCTATTAGAGTGCCACTTGTGACCTCAACTGAAATCTCTCCTATGATTTATCGGCCTCATTTTCCGGTCTAAATTAAATAAAGCTTAGAAAATACTATTAAGAATCTCAGTCCATGAACGTAAATCACTAGATATATCTGAAAAAAAAAAGGAATTCCTCTGGTGCCGAACATTATACTTCTTTGCAGCGACATGTCTCCCTCTTATAACTAATTGGTAAGGGATATATCCATAGAAAATTTCCCAGTAATTTTAGATTCACGTTGATATGGGCATTACCGAAAAAAAATGATAATTAGTTTAGTTTGGTAGTTGAGTACAAATATGATCCTGACATTCTGTAGTTAATAAAAGAAAGGTAACGAATTGTTGGTTAGAATGTAATAAGATCCAAGGATATCGTCAGGATGTTCCGAATTTAGAAACAGATAAACTTGATTTTTTCCACTTTTTCTAGTACTGGCCAAAATAAAGAAAAAACAGCAAGTGACCTTTCCAAATATTTATTATAATAAAATGGTATAAAGTAGATATAGAATAGTGCAAAGTAAATGTAAAGTAGAGAAGAAAAAAATCGCTTGCTACACTCAATATATCCAGCTGAAATAGAATTAAAACTCTAATACAATTATTTATCACAGAATCAATTTGCTAAAGTCATTTGTGCATAAATGGCCTTTAAAGGATCAATGTTTTACAAAAATACCTGGAAATTATCAATATTGTTTGTTCAGTCGGTTAAAAAATTGGTAATAGTAACACGTTTCTTTAATTTTCTTTGGTGTATCATTTTATGACATCAGCTGTACATTTACCCAAGTTCTGAATGGGATCGATCCTTTGTAGTGACAATCTAGGATGAATTATTATGAATTCAAGAAAACCTATTTTGCTTTTTGTAAAGATCTACAACGACTGAATGATTATACTGATGCAACATTGTTTTACGATTTCTATAATTACAGTTTTGTGAGCACAGTTCCGTTTTTAAAGGAATTGCCATTGAAGTAATAATTAAGTTATAGTTTTAAGGAAAAAGTCTTGAGTTAAGTTGTAGATGAACTGAATATTGAACTCGAACCTGTAAAACAATTTCAGTTCGCTCGATTTTAAGCTGAAATGTTTATTTCACTTTCCGGTCTTCATAAAATTAATTATTGACAAATCATCTTCGAATGATTCATCCCTGATGATCTTAAAATATGCTATAAAGCTTTTTAAAGAAATGGATTTTATTTAAAAAGTTTTCCTGCAATTCATGGTTTTATATAAAGTTGATGAGTCACAACAAATTTTTATACTTACATTTAAAATTATTTAAGAAGGATTACATGTAAGGTTATAACAAATTTAAATAGTATTGTTATCGTCAAATCCTCAAATATACTAGAATGTCGTTGATTAGAATTGCTTATAAAAGATAAATCGTGTTCTAGAAGAGTGCAGTGATATTTAGTTATTAAAATGGCTAAGTTAGCAGGAAAGTACGAGCTCGTGGAAAATAAAAATTTTTACGAATATTTGTTGGACATTGGTAAGTAATGTTAACACTTCACTAGATAATATATATTAATACTATTTTGATATTGCAATATTATTTTTTATTATAAAAATGTGTGTTTTAAATTCGTGTTTTCAAAAAATAACAATATTTCAGGTGTGCCTGAAGATAAAGCAAAGAATGCAAAAGAAATTAAAGGAACTCTTGAAGTTAAAGTAGATGGAAACAAAGTAACTCTAGCAGACGATCATCCTCCACGAACCAGCGATTATATAATTGGCCAAGAAGTTGAAAACAAATGGGGGGATCAAGCAGTAATTAAGGTGAGTATCCAATTGGTGAAAAATAATATTTTCTTTACGAAATAATAATTTATTTAATCAGTATTTGAGAATACCCATTCATAACAACTTTTATGCGATCACTGGAAAAAGTAACGAGTTAAGTTTAATAAACCTTTTTTCTATACTCTTTATGTTTTATGTATTAGAGCACTGCGTCCTTAAATGGTGATGTCCTGACAATTTCGTCTTCAAGGGATGGCAAACCTGCAGGAACTAGGACTCTTACATTCTCCGACAGTGGACTGGAAATGGTAGGTCTAAAAACATAAACCTGAGAGAAATAGAAAATGTCGAGATTGTATGTAATTGTACAGGTGCAGTAAAAATTTTTGGAGACAACTTTCTCAAATTTTCAAATTCTACTACGATTGTTTTAATGTAGAAAAAAAGGACAGTTTTGCATTTCGTGGAAATAGTTTACCAGATTTTACAGTTCATTTAATATTGAATAATTGAAAAAAAATCGTAGTAGGCTGAATATTCGCAATTTAATAAATAAATTTAATAATAAATAGTTATAGTAGTAATGAAGATAATTTGTTTTTCGTGTTTGAATATTTATAAGTCTAAAAGGTCTAAAAAAACATATTTTATTATTAGCAAACTATATTTTCTATATAGCTAGATTTCTGGTATTAAAAAATATTGTTCCACTTCATTAGATAAGATTAAAAGAAAACTGTTGAAGTAACTATGTAAATACCTTTAAAATAAATTTAAAAAAATGTATGTTTAAGAATATTTGTAGAGGAAAAATTTAACATGTAAAATTACTTCACAACTTTCATTTGGTAGCAATGTTTTCTTGTATATTATTTCACATTAAAGGCTTCTGCTCTTAAATAAACATAACAATATATCATTCGTTGTAATAATGAACAGATAAGAGATAACATATAGTTCTCTAAATATGGTAACTCAATGATTCCACTTTTAATGTTTCGCATTTTTTTCAACGATAACAGTCCACTTCATCCATTACACGAATAATACAAATATTTATAATTTTTTAACCTCTTTTCAAAAATATTTAAATACGTTTTCGCTATAATAAAGAAATTTATGAACTTTTTCAGGCCTTCAATACTACTAAAGATGGAAAAGCCTTTGCAGCAAGCCGCATTTACAAGAGGATTTAAAACGCTTACCTTATTTTATTCAGTGGATGAAATAGAAACATTCTGTATATTAAAGTTTATAATGAGCCATTAGAATTATTTTACTTTCCTTCTGCGACAAACGTTACAAGATTTTTAACTGATGCATTTCTCGTTAAATTTTCTAGGGCAAAAAACTAATCCTTGTTGTCTCAAATCAAGTCGGCCGCGGTCCATTTGTTGGTGCACTCTATTAATTATCGGTGAAGCCAGCGCCACCTGTAACCCCAACTGAAATCTCTCCTATGATTTATCGGCCTCATTTTCCGGTCTAAATTAAATAAAGCTTAGAAAATACTATTAAGAGTCTCAGTCCATGCCCGTAAATCACCAGATATATCTGAAAATAACGGGAAGTTCCTCTCGTACCGAACATTATACTCCTTTGTAGCGACATGTTTCCCTCTTATAACTAATTGGTAAGGGGATATCTCTATAGAAAATTTCCCAGTAATTTTAGACTCAGGTAAATAAGGACATTACCGAAAAAACCTGATAACTAATTACTTTAGTTTGGTAATTAAGGATATTATATTGACATTCTATACGTTAATAAAAGAAAGGTAACGAATTGTTGGTTGGAATGTAATAAGATCCGAGAACATCATCAGGATGTTCCCAATTTGGAAACAGATAAACGGGATATTTCTTTTTTTTTTCATTTATTTTAGATCTGGCCGAAATAAAGAAAAAACAACAACTGACATTTCCAAATATTTATTATAATAAGCTTGTATAAAATAGATACAGAGTTGTATAAAGTATACAGGGTGTCCCAATTAAATCTTCCCATCTGGAAAATATCGCAATGCAATTAAAAAAAACTTGAGACACGTTGATTTTCATTTCAAGAGGGACAGGTGATGGCGTAAGTTTTGGTGTCTTGGAAGCTACCCCTTAGATGGGGACGTAAGATACCCTTAAACTTTAAATAGCACCCTGTGTTGAGTGACACCTCATTTTAAAGCTGTTTCAATTCTACTCAGGACGACATACAACTTTTTAAATTTTGTTTTAAATCATCACTTAAAGAATAAGACAAAATGAAAGAATGTTTGTTTAATTTCAGTGTTCAAATTGATTTCCGCCCGCTTCCATACAATAATAAAGCCTTTGTTCCACTTCCAAACGAACATTTCGAAGCATTTCGGGCGTTATTTGACGACATTCTTCAACAATTCGTGTTGCATAAATTTTCGACTTTAAGTGTCCCCATAAAAAAAAATCTAAGGGCGTTAGATCTGGCGATCTGGGAGGCCGCTCAATTGTACCTCAGCATTCTATTTTCAGTGATTAGGAAAGTTACATCTTGACATTAAAATCCGCGTGATAAAAAATTGTTTATCTCAAGATAAAACATTTAGATATAAAATTGGTTCATAGGTTCATATGAGGTAAAAGTTCAAATAATAAATCACTTAATAATCTTCCCAATATTAGTCATTGATTGAAAACCATTGATAAGATTTTTGAAGGTACATTAAACTGCTACTGTAATACTTAAAAATTGTTATTCATTATTTTGTTATGTAATAGCATGGCACAAAATAGGCATCAAAACATTTCAGTTCAGAAAACTAAAATAAAACGAAAATAAAAATTACTACATTGATAAAATTCCTCCTTGTATTAAAAAATATACAAGGTGATTTATAAGTTATCCAAAAGACTTTAGTTTTATAAGTTCCATTAAAAATAGAACCGATATCACCAAAAATGTTTATAGATAAGTTTTTTTACACCTGCTCCCTGACGGAACTTACTTTTTCCAATTTCTTTTGACAAATGCCTACTTATTTAGTATTACTGTGGGTTTTATACTGCTCTTATTATCGTGGTTTACTTTTTACTTCATTATTACAAGTGTTCAAAATGGCAACAAGATAAAATGTTTCAAGAATGTACGTATATAGACCTTTACCACGATGGTTCAACACGGAATCGTGGAAGAGATGCAGGTCATAGGAGCCCAAGTCATATTGTAGCAACCGAGGAGCCAATTTTAAATATCGTGGAAGGAAATTCCTGTATAAGTACAAAACAAATCGTTCGACAAGTGCCTGGAGTGTTCCAATAAAGTACATCTCTGTGAATGTGGCGTTTATTGTACGAGGCTATCATGTACAGGGTGTACTGTCATTAGTATCCGTTATGGGTTAGATTTTGTGAACGTGTTTCAACCAAATGTTCAAAAACTATTTGAATTGTTGTGAATTGTAGTTCTGAAAAAAAGTTCAACAAATTTATTCCCACAATACATACAGAACAGGACAAAATACTTCTTTAAATAGCCTTTTATTGACTGAAAGAATTTTTTTTTAGTTATTTGTGCCATAGTTATAGTTTTTCTGTTCATTTGTATATTTTGCTACTCGAGATTTTTTTTTAATAATTGCGGCAAAAGAAACAGTAACAGTTGTTTTTATGAAACAATTTGCGCCTGATTAAACATTTCACACTGAAATCTACTTGCTTACAAAAGACCACAACTTAAATAAAAATACGTTATGAAAATTGTGATAAACATAGTTCAACAAAACTAGATATATTAAACATAGGTATATCTAACAGTACGTGGTAGATACAAAGCAAACTGATACCTTTTGTCTATTTTGAATTAAATTTACAATGGGTTGTGTAGAATACAGTATTTAAATTTCCTTAACATTAGCAATTCACTTACCTGTTATTTTTATGGCAATTATTTGAGGATTAACCTTTGGATATGCGACATTGGCAATTATATTTTTGTATCTCGAACACCTTTGAACGCTGCAAAATATAATAAACACATTGGCGTTTTTTTGCTATCTGCCGTGCACTTTGTAATAATACGAAAAGTATAAATAAACTGGGGTTCGATTCCTAAACCCAGTTAGTTCGAGACGCACCCGCTGACATTACCACGAACATGGTGCAAATCACAGGCAAATACGAACCAGTAGAAAATATAAACGTCTACGAGTTCCTCGTTAAGATGGGTAAGAAATGATTTTAGTTTCTATTACCGTCTGTTCTGCATAATACTAATTGAGAGTGATGATTTCTTGGTGATGCAAAGCTTTACAAGCTACTGATGCAAAGTTTTTTCAATAGGCGTTCCGGAAGACGAAGCAAAGGCGAAAACTGAGAAGAAAAGTCCCTTTGAAATCGTGCTCGATGGAAATAAACTTCGTTTTACAAGCGGCTTAGCCATTAAGCCTGCAGAGTTTGTTCTTGGCGAGGAAGGAGAAGAAATACTGCCACCGGACATTGTTGTTAAGGTACGATTTTGTTTTAATAATTTTTTGTTTGATCTAATTTCAAGTAAAACATTTTGTTTCAAAATTTTATGAGCTGTGTGTCAATTCGTTATTTTTTAAGCGGAAGTGTGTATTAATTTCACATTTCTCAATTTTCACGTGAATTTTTTGCGTTTTTGATGATCTTTTTAGATTTATAATGGTAAACATCGACAGAGTCAAGGAAATAAAAATATAACGATTATTTGTATTTCTGTTTGTTGTTTCAGAGTATAGCGACTCTGGATGGTAACGTCATCACCGTCAAGTCATCAAAACCAGAAGTGGACTTAACTGGTTCCAGAACCCTAACATTCACCGATTCTGGATTGGAAATGGTAAGTTCTTCAAGTGCAGAACCAGTTCTTTTTAAATTCCTCTTATTATATATATATTTTTTTAGAAAATTGTCATCGACAAAGAAGGAGTGCCAGTAGCTATACGTAAATACAAAAGACTTTAAAAAGTATAGAAACCATGAGGGAGACCACATAGACTTTCGAGCTATATGTTAATTTAAAAATTGTATTTTTATGAAATAAATGTATTCTTATTGAATTTATCTTTTGTGTAGGTGTATGTTATATCTTAATTGTCGATCCTAGATATTGCGAGTGTAGTTCAATGCTGCACGGGACTTTATAATTGACCTAGAGCAAGCAATTACTCTAATAGTCCAGTCATTATAGCTTTCTTTCACAAACACAGAAAGATCTAGTTAACAATGAGGGTTGCTTTCGCTATGCAGCAAGAATAAAACGCTCACTCAACTGTAATAATAATGTATTTTATTGAAAACTAAGTTGTACAGAAAAAGACGTGTTGACGGGGTGAGTGTTCGTTGGAGTGTATGAGTCCGCATCTGGTCGCCGGTGCCAGCCCGCCGTAGACCCTTCCTGAAAGGTTGGTGCGCCCGGCGGCGCTTTTGACGTAATGCTTAAAATTTACAAATATCAGGTACATATGTTGTGTAAAATTCGAAAATGAATTTGTTTGTAAATTTCGGGTTGAAAGAATGTTAATTTCGTTAATACAATAGCTTCAATGCTCACGAATTTTCGCGTTACCCCAAATTAAAAAAAAGAATCATCTCGATACGTTCATTATTAACCGAGAAATGGCTAATTTTTCCGACTCCATCGATTTGAAGCCGCTCGATCAGCTTTCTGCTCGCAATCAGACGCGCAACGCGCATGCGCCGCATCGCTCGTTTGCTAAACCGAGTAATAGCACGTATCGCCGCTATCTTTTCTGCAATTAAATAGTTGAATTCATCTGAACGTTAATGTAGGACATGAAAATATAGCTCTTAATGTATACTCTCTCCAAATTTCCACAACGATTAAATAAAAAAATATTATCTCAGCTTCTAATCAACTTAGAACAACGATTTTTTTTTTAATTCGAAGAAAAATAATACCAACTAAACTATAGAGGTTCCTATTTCATTTTATAATATACCTATCTTAACAAATTAATAAATATTAACATTTTTTCAAAGTCATTTTTAAACAATTAAACTGTCAGTATATGCATATGTCAATACAACTATATAGGTACAAAAGCAATAAATGATCGAAGCTCTACAAAGCCTGTGAGGTTGGGAAAAATGAATTGAAAACAGCATCTTCTTAAATAACAAATTCCGCCAACGCCAAACTAATGAAGCTTTCGGGCTGAAATTTTTACCACCTATTAAGGGTGCAACGAGCTTAAAAAATCCTGAATTACAAGTGTTTTTGGGATGAAAATTGCATTAATTATTAGCAAAACTGCCATTTTCGACCTACCTTTTTTGTATTAACCATTTTTCGCTATGAATAACAGTTTTTTTACACGAGTCAAAAAACCACTTTTCCATAACTTTGACCATTGTTTAAATAAAGTTTCCTAACTAGTTTAGATTTTTTGATATTTTGTTTATAGCACGTTTAAGAACAATATTCCACAGAGAAACTTTTAATCGTATTTTTTTCCCCAAACAGACTGTTTCATGTCCTAAAATGACTGGACTTTATGAAGTCCACTCTAAGTCATCCCAAGGTCACCCAATGTCATCCCAAGGTCGAAAGTGGAGGGGGGGGGGGGTCTCAGCACCGGCTATAAAAACCTACTTATGTGTATTTTCCAAGATCGGGATACTTGTCTTTAATTTTTTTTGCAAGGTATNTTTCCCTCTTATAACTAATTGGTAAGGGGATATCTCTATAGAAAATTTCCCAGTAATTTTAGACTCAGGTAAATAAGGACATTACCGAAAAAACCTGATAACTAATTACTTTAGTTTGGTAATTAAGGATATTATATTGACATTCTATACGTTAATAAAAGAAAGGTAACGAATTGTTGGTTGGAATGTAATAAGATCCGAGAACATCATCAGGATGTTCCCAATTTGGAAACAGATAAACGGGATATTTCTTTTTTTTTTCATTTATTTTAGATCTGGCCGAAATAAAGAAAAAACAACAACTGACATTTCCAAATATTTATTATAATAAGCTTGTATAAAATAGATACAGAGTTGTATAAAGTATACAGGGTGTCCCAATTAAATCTTCCCATCTGGAAAATATCGCAATGCAATTAAAAAAAACTTGAGACACGTTGATTTTCATTTCAAGAGGGACAGGTGATGGCGTAAGTTTTGGTGTCTTGGAAGCTACCCCTTAGATGGGGACGTAAGATACCCTTAAACTTTAAATAGCACCCTGTGTTGAGTGACACCTCATTTTAAAGCTGTTTCAATTCTACTCAGGACGACATACAACTTTTTAAATTTTGTTTTAAATCATCACTTAAAGAATAAGACAAAATGAAAGAATGTTTGTTTAATTTCAGTGTTCAAATTGATTTCCGCCCGCTTCCATACAATAATAAAGCCTTTGTTCCACTTCCAAACGAACATTTCGAAGCATTTCGGGCGTTATTTGACGACATTCTTCAACAATTCGTGTTGCATAAATTTTCGACTTTAAGTGTCCCCATAAAAAAAAATCTAAGGGCGTTAGATCTGGCGATCTGGGAGGCCGCTCAATTGTACCTCAGCATTCTATTTTCAGTGATTAGGAAAGTTACATCTTGACATTAAAATCCGCGTGATAAAAAATTGTTTATCTCAAGATAAAACATTTAGATATAAAATTGGTTCATAGGTTTATATGAGGTAAAAGTTCAAATAATAAATCACTTAATAATCTTCCCAATATTAGTCATTGATTGAAAACCATTGATAAGATTTTTGAAGGTACATTAAACTGCTACTGTAATACTTAAAAATTGTTATTCATTATTTTGTTATGTAATAGCATGGCACAAAATAGGCATCAAAACATTTCAGTTCAGAAAACTAAAATAAAACGAAAATAAAAATTACTACATTGATAAAATTCCTCCTTGTATTAAAAAATATACAAGGTGATTTATAAGTTATCCAAAAGACTTTAGTTTTATAAGTTCCATTAAAAATAGAACCGATATCACCAAAAATGTTTATAGATAAGTTTTTTTACACCTGCTCCCTGACGGAACTTACTTTTTCCAATTTCTTTTGACAAATGCCTACTTATTTAGTATTACTGTGGGTTTTATACTGCTCTTATTATCGTGGTTTACTTTTTACTTCATTATTACAAGTGTTCAAAATGGCAACAAGATAAAATGTTTCAAGAATGTACGTATATAGACCTTTACCACGATGGTTCAACACGGAATCGTGGAAGAGATGCAGGTCATAGGAGCCCAAGTCATATTGTAGCAACCGAGGAGCCAATTTTAAATATCGTGGAAGGAAATTCCTGTATAAGTACAAAACAAATCGTTCGACAAGTGCCTGGAGTGTTCCAATAAAGTACATCTCTGTGAATGTGGCGTTTATTGTACGAGGCTATCATGTACAGGGTGTACTGTCATTAGTATCCGTTATGGGTTAGATTTTGTGAACGTGTTTCAACCAAATGTTCAAAAACTATTTGAATTGTTGTGAATTGTAGTTCTGAAAAAAAGTTCAACAAATTTATTCCCACAATACATACAGAACAGGACAAAATACTTCTTTAAATAGCCTTTTATTGACTGAAAGAATTTTTTTTTAGTTATTTGTGCCATAGTTATAGTTTTTCTGTTCATTTGTATATTTTGCTACTCGAGATTTTTTTTTAATAATTGCGGCAAAAGAAACAGTAACAGTTGTTTTTATGAAACAATTTGCGCCTGATTAAACATTTCACACTGAAATCTACTTGCTTACAAAAGACCACAACTTAAATAAAAATACGTTATGAAAATTGTGATAAACATAGTTCAACAAAACTAGATATATTAAACATAGGTATATCTAACAGTACGTGGTAGATACAAAGCAAACTGATACCTTTTGTCTATTTTGAATTAAATTTACAATGGGTTGTGTAGAATACAGTATTTAAATTTCCTTAACATTAGCAATTCACTTACCTGTTATTTTTATGGCAATTATTTGAGGATTAACCTTTGGATATGCGACATTGGCAATTATATTTTTGTATCTCGAACACCTTTGAACGCTGCAAAATATAATAAACACATTGGCGTTTTTTTGCTATCTGCCGTGCACTTTGTAATAATACGAAAAGTATAAATAAACTGGGGTTCGATTCCTAAACCCAGTTAGTTCGAGACGCACCCGCTGACATTACCACGAACATGGTGCAAATCACAGGCAAATACGAACCAGTAGAAAATATAAACGTCTACGAGTTCCTCGTTAAGATGGGTAAGAAATGATTTTAGTTTCTATTACCGTCTGTTCTGCATAATACTAATTGAGAGTGATGATTTCTTGGTGATGCAAAGCTTTACAAGCTACTGATGCAAAGTTTTTTCAATAGGCGTTCCGGAAGACGAAGCAAAGGCGAAAACTGAGAAGAAAAGTCCCTTTGAAATCGTGCTCGATGGAAATAAACTTCGTTTTACAAGCGGCTTAGCCATTAAGCCTGCAGAGTTTGTTCTTGGCGAGGAAGGAGAAGAAATACTGCCACCGGACATTGTTGTTAAGGTACGATTTTGTTTTAATAATTTTTTGTTTGATCTAATTTCAAGTAAAACATTTTGTTTCAAAATTTTATGAGCTGTGTGTCAATTCGTTATTTTTTAAGCGGAAGTGTGTATTAATTTCACATTTCTCAATTTTCACGTGAATTTTTTGCGTTTTTGATGATCTTTTTAGATTTATAATGGTAAACATCGACAGAGTCAAGGAAATAAAAATATAACGATTATTTGTATTTCTGTTTGTTGTTTCAGAGTATAGCGACTCTGGATGGTAACGTCATCACCGTCAAGTCATCAAAACCAGAAGTGGACTTAACTGGTTCCAGAACCCTAACATTCACCGATTCTGGATTGGAAATGGTAAGTTCTTCAAGTGCAGAACCAGTTCTTTTTAAATTCCTCTTATTATATATATATTTTTTTAGAAAATTGTCATCGACAAAGAAGGAGTGCCAGTAGCTATACGTAAATACAAAAGACTTTAAAAAGTATAGAAACCATGAGGGAGACCACATAGACTTTCGAGCTATATGTTAATTTAAAAATTGTATTTTTATGAAATAAATGTATTCTTATTGAATTTATCTTTTGTGTAGGTGTATGTTATATCTTAATTGTCGATCCTAGATATTGCGAGTGTAGTTCAATGCTGCACGGGACTTTATAATTGACCTAGAGCAAGCAATTACTCTAATAGTCCAGTCATTATAGCTTTCTTTCACAAACACAGAAAGATCTAGTTAACAATGAGGGTTGCTTTCGCTATGCAGCAAGAATAAAACGCTCACTCAACTGTAATAATAATGTATTTTATTGAAAACTAAGTTGTACAGAAAAAGACGTGTTGACGGGGTGAGTGTTCGTTGGAGTGTATGAGTCCGCATCTGGTCGCCGGTGCCAGCCCGCCGTAGACCCTTCCTGAAAGGTTGGTGCGCCCGGCGGCGCTTTTGACGTAATGCTTAAAATTTACAAATATCAGGTACATATGTTGTGTAAAATTCGAAAATGAATTTGTTTGTAAATTTCGGGTTGAAAGAATGTTAATTTCGTTAATACAATAGCTTCAATGCTCACGAATTTTCGCGTTACCCCAAATTAAAAAAAAGAATCATCTCGATACGTTCATTATTAACCGAGAAATGGCTAATTTTTCCGACTCCGTCGATTTGAAGCCGCTCGATCAGCTTTCTGCTCGCAATCAGACGCGCAACGCGCATGCGCCGCATCGCTCGTTTGCTAAACCGAGTAATAGCACGTATCGCCGCTATCTTTTCTGCAATTAAATAGTTGAATTCATCTGAACGTTAATGTAGGACATGAAAATATAGCTCTTAATGTATACTCTCTCCAAATTTCCACAACGATTAAATAAAAAAATATTATCTCAGCTTCTAATCAACTTAGAACAACGATTTTTTTTTTAATTCGAAGAAATATAGTACCAACTAAACTATAGAGGTTCCTATTTCATTTTATAATAATTACCTATCTAATCAATTTAATAAATATTAACATTTTTTCAAAGTCATTTTTAAACAATTAAACTTTCAGTATATGCATATGTCAATACAACTATACATATAGGTACAAAAGCAATAAATGGTCGAAACTCTACAAAGCCTGTGAGGTTGGGAAAAATGAGTTGTAAACAGCATCTTCTTAGATAACAAATTCCGCCAACGCCAAACTAATGAAGCTTCCAGGTTGAAATTTTTACGACCTATTAAGGGTGCAACGAGCTTAAAAAATCCTGAATTACAAGTGTTTTTGGGATGAAAATTGCATTAAATATTAGCAAAACTGCCATTTTCGACCTACTTTTTTTCTATAAACCATTTTTCGCTATGAATAACAGTTTTTTTACACGAGTCAAAAAAACACTTTTCCATAACTTTGACCATTGTTTAAATAAAGTTTCCTAACTAGTTTAGAGTAGATTTTTTAATATTTTGTTTATAGCACGTTTCCGAACAATATTCCGCAGAGAAACTTCTAATCGTATTTTTTCCCCAGGCTGTTTCATGTCCTATAATGACTGGACTTTATGAAGTCCACTCTCAGTCATCCCAAGGTCACTCAATGTCATCCCAAGGTTACCAATTGTCATGATGTCACTTTAAAGTCATTCAATGTCGAACGCCTCCTCCCATATGCAGAGGTCAAATAAAGGTCACCGTGACCTCTATCAATGTCATCCAGGTTATGGATGACGCCATCCAAGGTCATCCCAAGGTTACTCAATGTCATCCCAAGGTCGAAAGTGGAGGGGGGTCTCAGCACCGGTTATAATAACCTACTAAACAGTTTGCAGACATCTCCGAATGGATAAATACAGGTCCTGCATGGTTTTCAATGGAATCTTATACCATTCTTCCTGCAAAATAGTGGCAAGTTCAGGAGCATGATTCATATCTTACCCAAAAGACACTTTGGTGATAAATGCACCATTAAAAGTAAAACGGATATTGCCAAAGAAGTTACAATAAAATATTTACAGATTACGAGAAAAAATATTCGAAGTGATGTTATCTCTAAAATGAACTACGTAAATCAACTGTAGTTTATTTCCTTGCAGATAGCTTCAGCATTAACAAATTCCTATTTATTTAATATTACTGTGGTTTTTATAGTGCTCTTATTATCGTGGTTTATTGTTTATTTCTTTACTACAAGTGTTCAAAATGACTTACGTGTATCTATTCCGATCTATATTTGCTAAATATTCCCCACGTAATAGGTACTGTAGAAAATAGTATTTAATTTTGCTTAATGTCAACAACATCTACTTGCATGTTATTTTTCTAGCAACTATTTTAGGATTAACCTTTGATACGCGAGATCGACAGTAATATTTTTATATCACGCACACCTTTGTACGTCGCAAAATGTAATAAATACTTCAATGTATTTGCTATCTGCCGTGCACTTTGTAATAACACGAAAAGTATAAATAAACTGGGGTTCGATCCCCAAACCCAGTTAGTTCGAGACGCATACGCTGACATAACCACGAACATGGTGCAGATCACAGGCAAATACGAACCCGTAGAAAATGTAAACTTCTACGAGTTCCTCGTTAAAATGGGTAAGGATTGATTTCAGTCTCTATTACCGTTTGTTCTGCATAATTCTAATTGAGAGTAATGATTTCGTATTACTGATGCAAAGCTTTTCAATAGGCATTCCGGAAGACAAAGCAAAGGCGGGAAACGAGAAGAAAAATCCCTTTGAAGTCGTGCTCGATGGAAATAAACTTCGCTTTATAAGCGGCTTATCTAGTAAGCCTACGGAGCTCGTTCTAGGCGAGGAAGGAGAAGAAACACTGCCACTGAACACTGTAGTTAAGGTATGATTTATTTTTATTAACGTTTTATTTGATCTAATTTCAAGAAAAATGCCGTGTTTGAAAGCTGTGTAATGTTTTATTAAAAGGTAGACAATTGATTACTCAATTCAACCTTGAAATTATATGATGAGTTATAGTTATATCATTTCAAATCAGACAAAGTTGTAATAGATAAATACAATTGAAAACAGAACTTTGTTATTAACCTTATCTTATCGCTATAAACAGTGTTTTAATTTATTATTTTAAGTAGGTTAACTGTATTTGTATATGAAATCACATTACTCAATTTTTAAGTGAGTTTTTGCGTTTTTAATGATTAATTCATATTATAAACATCAAAAGCATCAAAGAGAATAAAAATACAACGATTATGTATTTCTGTTTGTCGTTTCAGAGCACAGCGACACTGGATGGCAATGTCATCACCGTCAAGTCATCAAAACCGGAAGGAGACTTAACTGGTTCCAGAACTCTTACATTCACCGATTCTGGATTGGAAATGGTAAGTTTTTCAATCGCAGAGACAGCTGTTTTCAAACCCTTTTATTATTTGATTTTTTAAGAAAATAGTCATCAATAAAGAAGGAGTGCCAGTAGCTATCCGCAAATACAAGAGACTTTAGAAAGTACATAATACATGAGGGAGACCACATGCAAGACTGTCGTAATATTTGTTAATTTAAATGATGTACAATGAAATTTTATGAAATTAATATATTCTTATTGAATTTTTTGTCTTCTTAATGAAAAGAGTGTAGGTGTATGCTATATCTTAATTGTCGGTGCTAGATATTGTGAGCGTAATTCAATGTTGCATTCATATAGTCCACAGAGTCAGAGTACCTACAGGGTAGATGTATGCTTTTAAAATTCGCGAGTATTATGAAAGCATACAATTATTTTTTGTAGATTGGTAGCACTGTCCTAGATATCTAGATATATAGGGTTTTACAAATATGTATATACCAGTCTATGCATTATAATGGGCGTCATATTGATAATGCAGATGATATTATTAATGCATTAATGCTCTAAATCTTATTTACCGTCATCTTCTAACAGCAATAATTCATATTCTAGCAATAACATTAATAATATCATCGACTTTAGTGAAACCGAAATTCTTTCGGCTTTAAAAAGAATTAAACCCAAAATGACTATTGGTCCGGATGGTGTTCCCGCGTTTCTGATAAGAGGCTGTGCTCAGATTTTTTCTCGTCCCTTAAAGAAATTATTCAACTTATGCCTAACAGTGTCGGTTATCTGATTTGTGGAAGCGTTCAAAAGTGTGTCCAATTTTTAAAAAGGGTGATAAATTCATTTCGTCATATCTCCATTATAAGTTATTTTTGTAAAGTTAAATATTACTGCACGACTATATTTATTATAACATCTCTAATATGATAATACCCTATCAGTATGGTTTTATGAAAGGACGTCCTACTGTCACTAACTTGATCAGTGTTACGCAATTTATAGCCGATTCTATAGACAACAATTTACAAACTGATGTCATATAAACTGACTTCAGCAAGGCGTTTGATAAGCATAATCACTCAATTTTACTCCAGAAACATGATATGTTTGGCGTATCAGGGGCCTTAATGAATTTCTTCAAATCTTATTTAGACAATAGAAAATAGTATACGTATAGTTTATAATGGATATAAATCGATTGAGTATGTCGCTACATCAGCAGATCCTCAAGGTTCCATTCTTGGACCTTTACTATTCATTATATTCATTAACGATTTAGTTTAGATGTAAATTTTCTTCTTTATGCCAATGATGTGAAAATATACATATCAGTTCGCAACATTAATGACTGTATTCAGCTTCAACGAAACCTTCTTAATATAAAATCTTGGTGTAATAATAACAGGCTAATGTTAACTATGGAAAAATGTAATGTCATGTATATTTCCATGCAAGGACAGTTTGATTGGTTCATGTACTATGTGGAGTGCTGACGATCTTATCAGTTTCAATAAAAAATTTGATAGCAATTTCTCGAGCTTTAGCTGATTGCTTTTTGATAGAATGACCATTTTACGAGTAATTTCACGGAATGGCTGATTATTATTTATTTATAGAATTTTGATCATCGAATTACAGAAAAAGCGAATTGTCCATTTATTTAATTCCACTTGTATGGGCTGACATCCATAGTAATAAATCTGCGTCATTGCACAACGATAATAAAACATTGATAAGATTAATCTATAAAAGCTTTCCAAAAGTGTTTGTCATTTCATAATTTACTATTTACAGATCCTTAGAAAATATGCAAACATCGAAAAATTCTGAACAGTAAACTCGAATGACAAATACATACTGATAATTTTTGTACTGTATATTACCTGCAAAATATTTTGAAACCTGTATCGAATTTGGTATCGTCCAAGGTCATATCCAAGTAGCATTAAAGTGATGGTAACTGATACTTTCGTAATTGGCACCAGATTATAACAACTTTGCTGGAAATATATTTTCATTTTTTACCAAGTAATAATTAAGTACATAATTAAGATATGATACAAGTTTTGCAATCTTCTTATGAAAACCACAGTAAAACACTACTAGGATCATATTCGATGCAAAGTAATAAATCATTGCCTGTCAAGGGATCCAGTGCAGTACGGTTTTAAGAGGTTTAGAAATTGAATAATTTCTTTATGCATTATGAAGCGGTGAAGGGATCAGTCCACGTCTGGCACCTCTGTCGCTACAAAAATTCCTGTATCCTCATAAACTATTAATTTAAAATGTAATATGTACTACATTTTACCTCTGTACGCGCCACTGTTGTTTATTTGTTTTTTGAAGGCGATCTCTGATTTACGACCAAGCTCGCCAGGTTAGTATTTGACTTATAACCGACCACTTCGTACACTCACTATACACATGGGCGACTACAGATAGTACCAGAACACAGTGCGTATGCGGCGGTATTTCAGATTTTACATTCAATTTCATTTTAAATTTAAATGGTTCATCTTACGCGTCCTAAAAATGATGACACGATTTTCCTTTGACAAAAGACCGACAACTTTTTCCATTGGAAATTTTTGAAGAATTTTGTACACAAATATTGTAATCAATAATAGTCCTCAATACATTTTACTCGAAAAAATAAGCCAACTCTGATTGTAACTAAATATTAAAATTACAACTTGGGTTCATTATTCATATAAGGTCTTGCAAATCATCATCATCATCAACTGCCCTGCATTGTTATCTACTTTATCTTAGGAATTATGTTCAGATGTATTTTTATCAGCTATTGCTGATTCCTAACGCATTGCGATAAAAATTGGTGGCGTGATATTGCTATTAATAATAAAATTATATTAATACTAAAATTTCTATAACTACAGTAACTTTACTTTACATTACACATGAGCATTCGAAAGAGGAAGTGGCTAAACACTACAATAAAACTATTAAATACAGATTACATCACGATAAAACTGAAATTTCTCATAAATGCTTACAAGCCATGTGACCGCCGAGCTTAGGCAACCAGTATTGCACGGCTGATACTGTCAAGTAAAACTCACTAAATCTTCAGCGTCATCACTAATAATGATTCGTTTACAACGAACAATGACAAACCGTTACGTTTACGCTCGAGATAGTGATAGCTGATTCGTTGAATAAAATCTCGTGAAAAATTATACCAATCATAATCATATTCATTAATATACCGAATTAGATCTTTAATTGCATGTCGTTTTTACATGGATGTTTCTATCGTGAATATTACGCTGACAAATTTTTCAGAAAATTATAACAAATCTTAACTAAATACTCTATACTCTATAGCTTTAATAATCGTTATAAAAACTTAAATTTTTGTTATATTCTTATAACTGTATGTAATAACGATAACACAGAGAAGAGAAAATATTTATATAAGTACCTATAAAAGAAGAAGTAAGGTTATTGTTCTGTATGTATAATAAAATCCTGATAAGTCCCCCAAACTATTGTGGATATGACACACACACACCAATATTGTACTGAATACTACTCTTCAGTACTTTTCACTTTAACTCTGCTTATGACCATTGAAATTGCTAGGTGTCTACTTTATTCATATAAGATCTTGCAAGCAATCATCGATGTTCATGCATTTTTATCTACTTTATCATCATGTTCATAACAACTATTATCATCTACAGCAGATTTCTAATGTACTGTGATATAAATCAATGGCGTGATATTGTTATTAAGAAAACAATGAAAGCATATTGACAGTAAAATTTCTGTGTCTCCTTTAGGTACATTAAAATGCGCATTCAAAGGAGTAGCTAAAAACTACAATAAAATTATTCAATACAGATCACGATAAGGGACTGCAAGTGAGCGAGATCGCATGATTATTTTTATAAAGTTGTACGTGATTCTCGTATCTTTATGTAAATCTAACAGTATTGCATTTAAACCTAGTTTGATGCTTACTTAATACAGTTGACATAATCAAATTTGCTTAAATGCGTGTCTTACTCTATGCATACAATTTTCCTTTGTTGTTACTAGAGTACTATGTATATACACTATTTTGACCGAAATAAAATATCATTTATCACTGGATATTATTTATTTCTTGTAACTACGCATAAGTTTTCTTCAAAATATACTCGATGTATGCCACAGCCGATATTTCTGGGAAAAAATATCAGACTTACAAAGTCATCATCGGTAAGTATGTTATATATAAAATCTCAGATAAAGCACTCTAGAAGGTAGGTTAACTTAAATTTGGTAGAGCAATAACACAGTCAAATTTACATTTACTTATCTCGACCAAGATAAAACAAACTTTGTACCTTCCACTCATTTATAACGAGCCGGAGATGGAGAAAATACAGTTGTGGTTGTGAATATCAAGTAACTAACAATCGCGTATTGTTCTCAAAATGGTCCAATTATCTGGAAAATACAAGCTTGTTGAAAATAAGAATTTTTATGAATTCTTAATCGGTGTGGGTAAGTAAAAATGAATATTCTTCAAATACCCCGTTAAAGTATCGATTAATTAATGATTTTCGTCGTAAAAAAATAAACAAACAGTGTTTTTAACTGTTACAATTACCTTGCACTTCGTTAGCCTTAGCCCGCTGAATATGCGTATTGTGAAGAAATCTCAGAGGATCTCCATTACCTGAGGAGTTGTTCCATCTGTAGTGGTTTTAGAACTAACTAGAACCGAAACAAACATCAAGGTGGGCCTAGGGGTTCTAATCCAGCTCCACAGAGCCTAGAACGAGAACAACAAGGACAGGTCAAAGGATTTAGCTAATGTTAAGGAAGTGCAATGTAATTCTGTAACTAGTGGCAACTAGGTACATAGGCCAAAGCAAAACAATCAGAAAAACCTCGCCATTTCTTTGCTGGTAATATTTGCAAAATGTTCTTTTTAGGAGAATCTGAAGAAAGAGCAAAGGAGGGGAATGCAGTTAAAGGGACGTTGGAGGTTAAAATCGATGGAAATAAAATTTCAATGACGAACGATACGCCTGCCCATGTCAGCAACTTAGTGGCAGGTGAAGAACGGGATGAAAAATTTGGAGAATATGTAGTTAAGGTAAAGAAAATAAAAAATGTACTTAAGGTTTTTGGGCTACAATTATAATACAGAATGTATGTATGCACCTTAAAGTTTGTATTTGCAGAGCCATAAAAATCAATATTGTTTTATCAGAAGTAATCTTGAGTCCCACTAGGGGCAAAGGTAAATTAACCGCAATCTCCACCAACCAAGATTTAACGTTTTAAATGTTCTACAAATATTTGTGCGTTTTAACTGTCATAATATGACTGTTACTAACTGGAAGAATTTATTGAATTTCAGAGTAAAGCTACCATAGATGGTAACGTCCTTACTGTGACTTCAAAGACACCGGAAGGTCAACCTGCAGGGTCTAGAACCTTGACCTTCTCTGACTCTGGATTAGAAATAGTAAGTTTAAGATCATCTAGATAGGTAGACAGAAAAGTTCATCATCATTCATTAATATTATAATTGTCGTTAAATGATAATAACGAACAATTTTTTTCTGTTTAGGTAATCAGTAGTGCTAAGGATGGCAAGACATACTCAGCCACACGAATTTATAAAAGGGTTTAAACATATTTTGTAAAACATTTGTCACACGAAGAGAACTAGGGTGTTATTTTTGAATTTTAATATTATTTAATAAAATAGTAACAAAGTAATTAGTAACGTATCATTTTTTTACTCAATTATCCTATGATTGAGTTCAGTATTCACGCACTGGCACTACTTTTTTTCACAGATTGTCCCCATGTAATTAAAATTATCTTCTCCAAAAATAACAAACATGAAAAACAACTATATCTGTTGTGTCATCTAGATATTCTCGCTCTGTGTACATATACGAAAAAATATAGGTATTAATTTTCCAATTACGCAGGCTGCTACTAATTTTGAATAGTACTTTCTATATAAAAAGGAATATGCTCAATCTAAAGAGTCAGCATATGTAAAAATTATTTTTTATTAATCTAAATCTAGATATACATTAATACAAGTTAAGGTCAATATCGGTCAGTGAGTAACATTAATAATATGTTCGATTTACAGTCACTATAAGTATTAAGTTGACCATATTATACCTATTATTTATAGTTATAAATGTCACTGATAGTAGGTACAGTCATTGAAGCTTTTCACCTCCGAATTCTTTGAAACTGAACCGATCGACTTGAAATTTGGCAGATAGTTGGAGAAAAGGTAAATGAACATTAGTGACAGCGCCGATTGACGCTTCCACCCCGTTGGGGGTGGAATTTTTTTTCAAAAATAAATAGATAGAGAATCAAATTTTGAGCAAAAACTATTCGAAGAAATTTTTCGAGAAATCAATAGTTTTTTAGTTATTCACGATTGAAAATTTGGAATTTTGAGTGAAAAAAAACACTTTTTCAAAGTATTTTTCGCATATAACTCAAGAACTACGCATTTTATTAAAAAAGTGTAATGAACAAAAATGTAGCTTATAAATAAACAAAGAAAATTGTTTTTTAAAAAGTGTTGTACGTCCTATACAAAGCGAAACATGGTTAGTGGAAGGGGACTTGTTTTGGGAGGAATACTCGAATCGATGTATTCACCGTCAAATAACGGAAAAAGGATTAATTTTACGTGTATAACCCTCCAGAAGTTTTTTGTGGTACTCAAAAAGACCTTCAAAATGAGCACTTATAAAAGTTAATTAGAGCAAAATTTAAGGAGTTATCGTCAAAAACATATGGGATATTTTTTAAGGAAAATGAGCAACAAACGCTGTACCATTTCCATCAGAATTAAAATTAATCGTAGACCCTTCACAATTAGTTTTGTTTTAGTGTTTTTTATACGATCCTGAAGTTAGACCGGTTTAGAATGCGTATTTTTTTAATAATGTACGGTAAAAGTTGAAAACGTATTTTTCATTATTCAAAAAAAATTGCCTTATTTATATAATAACTCTGAAACTATGAAAGATACGTAAAAAATGATAGACAACAAAAATGTAGCTTTTTTTTCAACAAATATTTTGCTTTTTTTTTTCCTATAGCGTAAAAAATAAAGGAGATATCGCCGCTTGAAGTATCCATTTTAGTGAAAAAACGACCTGTCTCGAGCCCTTCGATCCTTTCCCTTTAAAAAACGAAGGACTTAAAAGGTTTTATATGCAAACGATCTTACAGCTCTTGAAATTATCTTTAAAATGCTTTTTTGTAGGATACTATAGCTTCAAAATTAACCGAGTTATGGTAAAAAAACCAATGACATTTTTTCGGAGCAAAATAGGCTTTCTCATTTTTATATATTATATATTATATTATACAAATAAAATAAGTAAAAAAAATTAGTGTGATTGTCTATATGCAGCGTAGCAATTTTTTTATGATTGATTGTATTTAAAAATCGATTACAATAAAAATATTTTACATTAATATTGGTAAAAGGGTAGTTTATAAGAGTTGAAAATGGCAAAAGTAAAATATTCTTTCATAAACAATATAAGGGAATTTTTATTTTAAATTATTACACAATTATAATATTCCAAGATTTAAAACGTAATTTTTTATAATTTTTTTAGCACAGGGGCTATTTATAAGGGTTGAAAAGTGTTATGAGATACAAATTCTTTCATAAGCAATGAGGGATTTTTTTTGTATAGGGGTAGTTTTTAAGGGTTAAATAAAGGGTCGAAAAGATCAAATATATCATAAAACATGTTCGAGAATATGGGATATTATTTAATCTTTGTGCTTGAACAAGATTTTTATCAGTAAAATGCTTAAAACTTAATTTTTTCCATTTTTTTCACATCGGGGTAGTCTTTACCCCTAAAAAACAAAAAGCGTCACTTTTGAACTTGAGCCTAAGATGAGCCTAATTCTAAATTTTCATGTAAATCCATGTTTTCATGTTTCGAAGAATTCGGAGGTAACAGCTGATTTTCAGTTTCAATGACTGTACTATGAACATGTTCATAAAATTTAAAAAATTTGGTATAAACCCCGTAAACGACATGTTATAAATTTAAGCTAGGCAAAGCAATAACAGCATCAAACTCATTCTTATCTCCAAATCTTTAGATAAATAAACTTTGCACCTTCTAATCATCTATAATAGGAATCGAGTTGGAAAATATTGCAGTTGTGATTTTGGATATTGTGTAGGTAACAGTTGAGATTTTCCGTCGAAATGGTTCAAATAACGGGAAAATACAAGCTTGCGGAGAATAAGAATTTCCTTGAATTCTTATTGGCAGTGGGTGAGCAAAAATATATTCATATCAATATTCTTCAAATATAGGTATTAAATTATAAAGATATGAATACCTCTTTGCAAAACAAATTCTACAAAATATTTCTTAGGCATGCCAGAAGACAAAGCAAAAGAGGGAAATAAAATTGCTGGAACATTAGACGTTAAAATCGATGGAAAAAAGATTTCGCTGGCAAATGACACACCTCCATATGTCACCAATTTAGTCCTGGATGAAGAGGTTGATGAAAAGTTGGGAGAAGACCAATTCAAGGTAACGAATATTTTTGGCTGGATTTGTTTATTAAGTAAATTTGCGTCTCTCAATTCTATGATTCTACCTTTGATCTTCTAATATTAATGACGAAAAATGATCCTGCCCAAAAAAATTGTCATTTTGGAATAGAATAGGAGTGTTGTAGTGGCGGGTAGTTGTAGATAATTTTTTGAAAAGCAAGGATACATCTGTTTGTATTAGTTGAATGTGCGAAAAAAATAATTTGAACAAAAATAATGTCGGTCCCACGTTTCAGTATCAAAATAAGTCGAATTAATTTTTCACCTACCACCAGTAGAGTGCTGATATGCTCTGAACTGGCAAATATTTGCCAATTAATAATGGATAATGTTGTATCAATAAATGTAATTAATCACACTTTTATGACAAAGATAACAGAATCTCACTGAATTCTGCCCCCTTTCTTAAGTGGCTAAACTTGCTATATTTGTGGAACATATGTATAAAAATTTCCTTTTTCCTCGTGAATATCTCAAATTAAAAGGACTTGTTGTTTTTATGATTGTGTGTTTCTTTGACTTGCTACCATAATATGTTATGTAGACCAATAAATATTCTATCCTATTCTTCATCAACCATACTCGAATTTGTACTAATAACAATTCCCTTGCAACTATTCCCAATTGTAAAAATTTATTGAATTTCAGAGTACAGCGACACTAAGCGGCAACGTCATTACTGTAACTTCCAAGACAAAAGAAGGTGAACTTGCAGCAACTAGAACCTACACTTTCTCTGACAGTGAATTAGGAACGGTAAGTTTAAGTCATGCCGAGAAAAAAATAAATATAGAAAAGTTATTAAGAATCAGACGATTTTTCCTCTTGTAAACAGTACTTTCTGTGTCATATCAGCATTAGTTGTATTCTAAATAGTTTGAAAACTCTTTTTGACTTATTTCAGAACAATCTAGATTGTTCGCTGATTGCTACTGATCCATTTCTATTTTTCAATTCCCAGAATAAGTTCCACACAAAATATTACATTTTATTGCTAAAACCAACATACGAGTACTTTTAAAATGTCCCGTATATGATTCTACGTGCGAATATTCCACTTATTACATTAATGTTAGTACCGTCTTAAAAAAATAGTCAATATGGCTCCGATATTAAATTAAACGATTGTATATGTAGAATCATTTATATGGTTTTATATTCCTTTTTATTGTTTTAAGATTGGGAATTAATGATGTGTTTGATTCTTAATTGAGGTATATTTGTCGTGTACCTAGATTTACAATCTGTTGGGCAATAAACGTATTAATATTATTAGTTTTTTAATTTTAAAACTTGATGACAAAGCATTCGCCTCTATTATCAATATTAATTTAATTGACTAGTCCACTAATATTGTCAGTTTTCCATAATTCACATTCAGTATCACCGTTATTATTATCACTGTGAAACAAATTCTAATAAGATATATTTTTTTGTTTAGACAATCACCGCTTATAGAGATGGTAAGACCGTTTCAGCCTCACGTATTTACAAGAGAGTTTAGACCGATTTTCTGAGACACCTATCCATTGGAAGAATGTAAGGCTATGTTATTTTTCAGATTTAAAAATGTTATTTAATAAAATCATAACAAGATTAGTCTATTATTCTTTCCTACGCTGAATTTACATATATCTAGTAATTCCTTTCAAAAATGTTGCGAAAGGTGTGAAAAGGGCAGCACTCGAGATTTCCGAAGATATTTGAACGCCCATGGACATATAATAAGGTACAAATAGCTTATTTATACAATAATGACATAAAATACCAGATTATTAACAATAACATAACCTGAAATAAACAATAATAGCACGATTTAATCAATCAATCATTTATAATGGTTAATACTTTTAATAAATTATATTGTCTAAAGATTAGTTAAGTAGTCTTCATCATTCTACAAAGTCGCCAACGTTATATAAGGTTTGATCCAACACAGAATTCAGAACGGTTCCTAACTTAATTCTGGATATCGCAAATGCGCAGACGCAAATTAGACACGGTTTAGAATTCAGTTCTTTGTTGGATTTTTAGATATTTTTAGAACCGAAACTACTAATCAGAAAAATGCAAATGTTAACGATGTGCAGTGTCAACATAACCTCTTTAATTTTAAAATTTTAGTATATGTACTTTCACAAAGACTATAGTTTACATATTTTATTCTTTGTCGAGTTTAGGTTATAATGAACGATGGATCATAGACCTACTTTTCAGATCTATGCGGTGGATAAACGTCATCACACCACCACCGGCACCATCACGCATGCTCCAGGATTAGAAATTCTTGTAAAGTCCCAGAACTGTTTGAACCGTTCGTAACTCGTTCAAAAATCGTGTTGGAACAGCGAACGGAAAAGTACTAACGGTTCTGAATTTGTGTAGGAACGCGAAAATTGTAATACGCAGACTCATTACGATTCCGGACCATCCCGAATTTTAGTTGGAACGAACCTATAATTGTTTATTATTCTTCTGTTTATACATCAATATTGCCCAAAATATGTCCAAATACCAGTATTATACTGTCATTTACAGCAAAAAAGTGAATAATACCCAAAATATGTTCGATTTGTAGTCAGTATCAGTAGATATTAATTTGGTCATTTATTATTTACCTATAAATAATATGAATGTCACTGCATGTCCTGTTTACAACATCTAAAAAATGTGGTATAAACCCTCGTAAACGACATGCTATAAACTTAAGTTTGTGGTAAAGCAATAACAGCATTAAACTTGTTCTTATCTCCAAATCCATATATAAAACAAAACGTTGTACCTTCTAATCGTTTATAAAGGGAATCGATTTGGAGAAAAATGAAGTTGTGACTGTGGACTCAGTAGAAAACACTTGAATTTTGTTGTCAACATGGTTCAAATAACAGGAAAATACAAGCTTGCAGAGAATAAGAATTTCCTGGAATTCTTATTGGCAGTGGGTGAGTCAAAATATTTGGATTATATCAATATTTTACAAATGCACTATTAAATTATAAGAATATAAACATCTTGTTGCAAAAAAATACTAATGATTTTTTTTTCAGGTATGCCCGAAGAGAAGGCAAAGGAGGAAAATAAAATTACTGGAACGTTTGACGTTAAAATCGAAGGAAAGAAAGTTTCAATGGAAAATGATACACCGCCATATGTCAGCAACCTAGTCCTGGATGAAGAGGTGGATGAAAAATTGGAAAATGAAGAATTGAAGGTAACACATTTTTCTCTATAACTAAGTTTCATTTCCATCTTTCAATTCTATGACTCTGACCATTCTGTTCTTCCTTTGATCCTCTGATATTAATTATGGAAAAAGAAACCTGCTCAAAAAATCGTGTCACTGTGGTACTGAACTCGCAAATATTTGCCAAGTGTAATCTATAATGTTGTATCAATAAATTTATGCAGGTCATACAAAATTTATTCTTTTATGGCAAAGATAAGGAGTCTGACTGAATTAAGTGCCTACCTGGTTAGTCATATTTGCAAAAAATATCTATTTGCGTTTTCCTCTACCTAGAACATCAACCATTCTTGAATTATTTTAAAAATAATTATTACCATAATAATAACAATTCCTATACAACTATTCCCAAATGTAAAAATTTATTGAATTTCAGAGTACCACCACATTGAGTGGTAACGTCATTACAGTTACTTCCAATACAAAGAATGGTGAACCTGCAGTAACTAGGACTTATTCTTTCTCTGACAGTGGATTAGAAACAGTAAGTTTAAGGTCATACCGAGAAAAAGTTTGATAGGAAGGTAGTTAGGGAGCTGAGAGATCGCTGTTGAAATGTTGACTGAGTTAATCAGTTGTTGGGTTAAATGTTGTACAGAGAATACATTAATATTTTTAACTGACCTTTCTTTGAAGATGTAGTTGAAAATGATTTCAAATTCAGGCTTTCATAACTTTGATGAATAATTATTAACTGAATGTTTACACTTTTTCATGTTGCAATCAGAATACTGGTAATTGTTAGAAAAACTACTTAATTCTCATTCAGTATCACCGCCATTATTACTGTGGAAAATTCTAATAAGTTGTTTTTTTTTTTTTGTTTAGACGATCACCGCTTATAGGGACGGTAAGACAATTTCAGCCCAACGTATTTATAAGAGAGTTTAAACAAATTTTCTGAGACGCTTATCCACTGGAGAAAAGTGAGACTTCAGTTTTAAAATTATATTTAATAAAACGGTAGTAACATGAATCTGTTATTATTTTCCTACACTGATTTAGTATCTAGTAAATCTGTATCGAGTAAAAATTGTAGATTTCGAGTATTCAATTCAATATTAAAACAGATTTTTCGGAATGGTAACTAATATCGAATTGTTAACGTATAGTTCAGGAAAATAACGAAGAAATGAGCGAATTTTTTTACTCTGAAATTTTTTAGACGCCTTCATTACAGCCATTTTTCTCTATCGCACGGATTTCTATGACTTTCTTTATCGCTCTCACGTAACGGCCGATAAACCATGGGGATTTTCCAACCCTGTATACTGTGTCCCAAAATTGTGAAACAAAATAAATATTTTTTTTCAGTTCAGATTTTAAAAAATTGTTGAAATTGGTCAATTAGTAAATAGAAATTGTCACTTTTCTGCAATATTTTCTATTTTTTTTTAGCAGACCTATAATAGCTCTTCTAAAGACGAATTCATCGATATAAGATTATAGCTACTTTTTTGTCATAAACTAATGCAAAAAATTAAAGGGTCAAAAAAATGTTTCCGTGATTTTTGACAGACTATACCCATTTAGGTGAAAAATGGTCGTATCGGGAATTAAAAAAGCATTTTAAAGCTCTAAGATTATAGTATTTAGATCTTTCGGTCGAAATTTTTTAAGAGTTACGGTTATCATGCAATTCTAATAGCGCGACAAAAAAAAATTGTAAAAAAGGGGTAATTTATGTTTTTTTTACCCTGTGAAACACTTAGTCATAAACACATAATCATGATTAAAATGGAAACAAAAATTAAAGTTTTCTCACATTTTTATCGCAAATAACGTTTAAATTGATGAAAAAAAAAACTTTTCGAAATTTTTTTTCAGAGAAGAAAATGGGTAGTTTTGAAAAAACTGTTTTTTAAGTGATTACAGACTGCACAAAAATTAATTAGAAATTTGTCAAAAACCGGTATGAATCGGGGTCGAAATCTGGTTTGGGTCATCAACTTTAATTTTAATTTAATTAAAAGTTGAAACAATTGCATTTTGTTTTCTTCAAGGTTTGGAAGCTTTTCCAAAAAAACAAAAAAAAAACTTAAAAAATTTCGAAAATTTTTCGAATTTTTTTTTTTCATCAATTTAAACATTATTTGCGGTAAAAATGTGAGAAAACCCCAAACAATTTTTTTTCCATTTTAATTATGATTATGAAGTGTTCAAGCTCAAAAAACGTGACTGAATAATATTGTGTTTTATAATTAGTTTTGATAACTCCAGCTGAATGGGACTGGGCACGTAATTATTATCTTTAAGGTAAATTTTGAACGGGGCTTGCGACTTACCTCAGATTTTCCTGGGTCTTCTTTGTAGCAGAGGGCCCTCAGTATTCAGTCCGGCGGCAATGGGAACAGGGCAAAACAAAATTGCGGCACATTGAAATTTAATTAAGGCAAAAGTATCTTGTATTATACATATAGCGGCACTCAAAAAACAGCGTTGAAGCGTTAACAACGGACGACTCGAACTTCACTCTCTGTCTCCATGTAGCTGTGTTAGTCGCAAGTCGGTATCGCGCAATTTTAAACAAAAAATAATAACAAAACCGAACAGAACAGCGGGTTATTTTGAATGCAATAGGGCTAAACTAAACTAAGGCTAAAATTAATTATATTAAAATTACTATTTTGACGAATATTGAACAGTGACCCTTTAATTTTTCTCAAAAGTTTGACTATTTGAAACAAAGAAACGGCTAGATCGAGGTGATACTTCACAGGGTTCTTCTGGGTATATCGAACTGTAAAAGTAATTCTTAACATTAGTCATTTCGAGAATATTTCTAATTTAGCAGTCAATTTTCTAAAAAACCATACATTACCCTTTTCTTCTACGTTTTTTAAAATTCGTTCGTGTAAAAGATGACAGAAAAAAAATTCCGAAAAGTTGCGGCAACATGTTATAGGAAATTTATTCCAGTTTTCGAAACTCCGTTCAATTCTCTGTACGACCATTTGTCACCGAGATATCGATGGTTGAGGAAAAAATTATCTTTTTCCATTAAAAGTCCGATATTTCGATGAAAAATGGTCATATCGAAATTTAAAAAAAGGAAATTGAAGCTGAATAAACAAGCTGTCTGGTTCATGCAATGGCTTAGCTGAACTCAGAAAAAAAAATTGCAAAATGTGTTTGTCCCGCTATTTCTTAGAATTGCATGATAACAGTAGCTCCTAAAAAATTTCGACCGAAAGATCTAAAACCTAGAATCTCAGAGCTTCAAAATGTTTATATGTAATTCCCGATACGACCATTTTTCACCTAAATACAGTCTGTCAAAAATCACGGAAAAATTTCGGAAATTTTTTTCACCCTTTAATTTTTTACATTAGTTTAGTTGTCAAAATAATGTAAAAAATTGTCTTTTATGTTGTACTGACGACTATTTCAAACAATCGGTGGATAGCCGCACGGTTTAAGGCGTCAGTACTTAAATCGTGTGCAAATTCTGCCTGGGTTCGATTCCCGCGGCCGGTAGACCGTAGATTAGCTATGCTTGTACGGAGGATTGGCCCCCTCTGTGTAGGTATGGTAGGGTGGAATAATGTTGGCTTGGGTCAATGTGAGAGATTGACACCGGTTGGTATTTGACCACCCCCCTAATTAATGAGATTTTCCAGATTTCCCTCATTACTGCACTGAATGGTGGTTAGGGCCTACCAACATAAGTCGTTCCTGGGCGCAAATGCGACCTGCGTAATAATAATATGCCGCCTCCTCTCCCGCACAAGTCTCCGACTTATGGGCTAATTCTCGTAATTAGAATGNTTACCCTTTTCTTCTACGTTTTTTAAAATTCGTTCGTGTAAAAGATGACAGAAAAAAATTCCGAAAAGTTGCGGCAACATGTTATAGGAAATTTATTCCAGTTTTCGAAACTCCGTTCAATTCTCTGTACGACAATTTGTCACCGAGATATCGATGGTTGAGGAAAAAATTATCTTTTTCCATTAAAAGTCCGATATTTCGATGAAAAATGGTCGTATCGAAATTTAAAAAAAGGAAATTGAAGCTGAATAAACAAGCCGTCTGGTCCATGCAATGGCTTAGCTGAACTCAGAAAAAAAAATTTGCAAAATGTTTTTGTCCCGCTATTTCTTAGAACTGCATGATAACAGTAGCTCCTAAAAATTTTCGACCGAAAGATCTAAAAACTAGAATCTTAGAGCTTCAAAATGTTTATATGAATTCCCGATACGACCATTTTTCACCTAAATACAGTCTGTCAAAAATCACGGAAAAATTTCGGAAATTCTTTTCACCCTTTAATTTTTTACATTAGTTTAGTTGTCAAAATAATGTAAAAAATTGTTTTTTATGTTGTACTGACGACTATTTCAAACAATCGGTCGATAGCCGCACGGTTTAAGGCATCAGTACTTAAATCGTGTGCAAATTCTGCCCGGGTTCGATACCCGCGGCCGGTAGACCGTAGATTAGCTATGCTTGTACGGAGGATTGGCACCCTCTGTATGGTAGGGTGGAAGAATGTTGGCTTGGGTCAATGTGAGAGATTGACACCGGTTGACATTTGACCACCCCCCTAATTAATGAGGTTTTCCAGGTTTCCCTCATTCCTGCAGTGAATGGTGGTCGGGCCTACCAACATAAGTCGTTCCTGGGCGCAAATGCGGCCTTCCTAATAATAATAAATAATATGCCGCCTCTTCTCCCGCACAAGTCTCCGACTTATGGGCTAATTCTCGTAGTTAGAATGAGGAGTAGAGATATTATTATTATTATTATAATCATAATCTCTTCTGTGCAAAATAATAGGTTTTGGAGCTCAGAAAATCCGCATTAAATTGAAAATTTAAATTTCATGACAATAGGAAATTAATTTTCTGGAGCTGCAAAGGTATAATAAAAAAAGTATATCAATATAATTTTTTTATGCATTTATAATTAAAAAACAACTTCTTTTAATCATTATTTTTAATAATTTTTTATTGACATCCATATCTAGGTTAGTTTTGTAAAACTACTTCAACGCTGTAGCTAAAAAATTTCACTTTTTTATAAAAAAATCTCAGAGTGAAAAAGTTCCCTTATTCCGTCTTTTTTCTTATATCAAACTTTCCTGGACTAGGACTACACCGCAGGTAACTTATTGTAGTGCACCAAACTTCTATGAACGTTTGTTCCAAGCAGCCTAGTTAACGGATAAAATACCCTTCTTTCGTCACAAAGACTCTCATCCAAAGCTACAAATACTGGGACTCCTGCCCCTTGGAGGGCCAGTGCTCCAGAGAAACCGTCCGGGTCAGCAGAACAGGGAACGAATATGTAGAGCCATAACTTTTAATTAACCTCACCCTTGTGGCGCGACACGTCTGCATGCGGTGTTTATTTCGAGAAGATGCCTGATATGTGGGCCCCGCGGCCCCAGGGAGCGCAATAATGGAGACAAAACTGCTCGGGTTGTGCTTTTGCACGGGCGTATTGCGTTATTTAGAGCGCTTCATTTAATTCCGGTTTCCCGGATTTGCGGAGTGTTGTAGGAATATTAGTTACGGAACTTTAAATACACCGAAGTATTGATAGCTACGTTTAATAAACTTTATTTCGTGGAATATTGTGTATCTGACCATTAGCGGGTATTACACTGACAGAATTGCTGAAGAGCTATTTCTTCTGTTCACCATCCGAAATATGAATGTTTTCGTTTCTTCGTGGAGTGACCTTTTTTTAAGAAAAACATAGCAACTAATATGTATATTAGTCATGATTAGTTCCAATACGATACAATACATTTTTGTATGTTTGTTATTGTAACCTTTAAAGGGGAAGAGATAGAGAAAACATTTCTGCAAACAAAATGTTCATAAAAACTAGATAACTTTAGTTATCATAAAAAACGGGTAAGTTGGTGGAAAAAAAAGTTGATGACACTATAATCTGTTTGGAAATGAAAAGAGTAATAAAACCCCGAGATAAGAACCGGCCATGGGCGTGGTAATATTTCGTTTCAGGTAATTATCGGGTAACACTAATGCTAACAGGTAATGGGTGTACATTAGTATATTTTACTGGATACATCATAGGGCAGGAGCCAGTGTATTGTGACAGATCAATCCAGTCTTAGAGCTGAATATACGAAGACGTGCTAGTGCAGTAGAGTAAAATTCGACTTGTGTTTAGTGACTATTGTGCCAGTGGATATAATATTGTTTGGGTAAAATGTCGAGCTTATCAGATTACGTACCTGCTAAACGCGTGAAAAGATGTGCGCTGTCTCAGAATGAGAAGATTATTATATTAAATGTATTTAATGCATTGAAACACCAAAATCCTACCAACAGTGTTGACGACATCGTGGAAAAGTGTTCCAAAATGACAGGGATTGGAAAATCGACTATCTACAGACTTTTAAAGGAAACAAAAAATGAACAAGATACTGTAAATCCCCCAAAATCATCTACAGGGAGGTCAAAAGTCGTTATAGATGATTTCTTCAAAAATGTCATTCGCAGAAAAGTACACTCATTTTATTTTAAAAAAGAAATACCAACGCTAAACAAAATTTTAAGTGAACTTTCAGAGGACAACGATTTGCCAAAAATCAGTAGAAGCAAATTATGGGCCGTCTTACGAGAGTTGAATTTTTGCTGGGAAAAGCAGAACAGGAAGTCAGTTCTTATCGATAAAGATGAAATTATTTGTTGGCGAAGATCCTACTTAAGATCAATTAGAAAATTCCGTGACGAAGGGAGGAATATTTATTATCTAGACGAAACTTGGGTCAACGAGGGATATACTGTAACAAAAGTATGGCAAGATAAAAATGTAAAAAGTTTTCGACAAGCATTTTTGGATGGACTTTCAACAGGGTTCAAGGCACCTTCAGGTAAAGGGCGAAGATTAATAGTGACACATATAGGTAGTGCCAGTGGTTTTGTAGATGGCGGTTTACTTTTATTTGAATCTAAAAATACAGGTGACTATCACGAAGACATGAACGCAGATGTTTTCGAAGAGTATTTTACACAGATGTTGGATCTTATTCCTCCGGGGTCTGTAATTGTCATGGATAATGCCAGTTACCATTCACGGCAGACCGAGCGGACGCCTACGACTGCTTGGAGGAAAGCCGATATAATTCAATGGTTATCCGGAAAAAACATTTCTTTTGAAACAAATATGGTGAAAAAGGAACTTTTGACACTTGTCAATCTTAATAAAGATCAGAAAAAATATGTTATCGATGAAATGGCAACAAATCGCCAAATAACGGTACTACGGTTACCACCTTATCACTGTGAACTTAACCCAATCGAATTAGTCTGGGCGCAGGTAAAAGGAGATGTAGCGCGAAATAATACGACGTTTAAATTAAGTGACGTGAAAATTTTGTTAAAAAATTCCTTGGAACGAGTAACTGCAGATAACTGGCAAAGATGTATACATCATGTACAAAAAGAAGAGGAGAAAATGTGGGAACTCGATAATTTAATTGACGTTACTGTGGAACCTATCGTTATCAATCTAGGAGACGAAGATAATTCATCAGAATATTCAGAGGATGAATTTTAATATACCTACTTTTTTATTTTCTTTATTGTACATTTATACAACACTACATTTACTCACCATAATTTGAATTTTCAAAATACATATATTTTTGTGTGGAATAAAAGTCTATTCATTAAATTTAAATAAATATTTTGATAATAATATTGAATAATTTTATTTGAATTACTAAAAACCCTCTTAACCCGGTTATGATGCTTAAAGTAGCCTCATGTTTTGAAATGCTGTTTTTATATTGTTTACTTATAAGAGAAATGGACCGAGAAATTGAAGCGGCATAGACAAAGACGGATTGTCGGGGATTAAATTTTAGCTACCTGCTACAATTTAGTACAACCCGGTCACACAAAGTTTTTTTAAAAGTACACCTCATCTATACCGATAATACATAATATAAAAATATTGAATATAAGCATCAGTACTACATTTATTTACGATTTGCATACATAATAAGCTTTTATTACTCTCTTTCATGTCTAAACAGACTATAATTGAAGAGAATACAATATAATTCAATACATTACAAATATAAGAAGACATATGCAGTCATTCTCAGGAAAACGAAAACGAAGGCCACCCATAATTTTTTATTTCGCAAATTTTATTCGAAACCTTTCCGCCACGAAATATCTCATAGCATTATCAAAACGTGACCACTTCAATGTTCACTAATCGCCACACGGATGTTATTATCTTAAATGCTATAATCAAAACAAGGGAAATGTTTAGAATTGTTAAATTGTTATTAATTATTATCCTTGACGGAATCCAGACATAGCAGAAATACATATCATAACTCCGAAACCATTCGAAAATGCTCGGGAGTTTCTGCCTGATGGAGCACACGGCTTAATGATTTCGCGTATAGCTCCATCTTCATCTGTATCATTTAGTGATTGATGTGTAGGTACATCGTTAACCAGCTTCCATATCCACCGAGATAATGGATATTAAGTTTTAAATTGAAATTCTCATCATTTAATTTTCTTCCCCGCTCTAAAGTTCCTTCCCTCGCTTTTCTCGTTCGCATCGTCTCTACGGGGCGGAATGAAACTAGCTGCTTTCGTTATGGTTTTATTAAAAATAATAATTTATATAAATAGTTCTTCGGGTGTGTAGGTGTTATATCCTTTGGTAATATCGCTTTGCTGTCGGTACATTCGGATCTTCCGCTACTAAAGTCTAAAAAAAGGATATTAGATATAAGTGGTTGTCCATATAATTACACCTAAAAATGTTAAACGTAGTAAGTTTTTGAAAATATAACATCTGATGAAGTACAATATCCGCGTAATCGCGATTCAAGTACTGAATACATTTACTGATGGTAAGTCAGATTTGAAAATTACATTTTACTCGACACAAATCCGTGTATTTACCTCATTTTGACATAATGGAGATATGGCAACAAATTTGACATAAGTTCATTAACACCCCCCCTTTTTAAAATTCTTTTTTGTGGTCCTCCTTCAGTGTACTAATTGTAAATAAAATTTTACTGCGATATTTTCTTAATATTTAAACTTGGTTAAAAATCGCCATTTTTACTTCAAAAAAACTTTAAAAAACTGATTGTACTAAGAACCATTTGCAAATTTAGTTCTTCAATGCATTTTGGGACAATTTTAAGTAGGAGTATTATTAACCCCCAATGATTTATGCAATATTGAAACAAACTAAGATTATGTGAAATAAAAAACGAACTCAAATTGTTTTTGTATTTTTAAACTGTAAATGTGACCGAACTTTATCATTCATTAATTGTTATTGTATTGTTGTAAATATTTAAAATCTAGTATATGGGCAATAAATCTATAATAATTTAAGTAGATATTTTAAGAGATTTATCTTTTGAGGCAATTCAAAATTAATACTTTTAATGAGAAAAGACAGAAAGACTAAAAAATTCATGAAATTCCTATTTTACTTACCATTATTATCCCTGTATCTGTAAAGTCATAGATCCTAGTTCCAGTTTCACCATTAGGACCTCTTGAAGTTATTTTTAACTGGTTCTCATTAAAAGTGATCGTACTCTACAAAATACAAGCCCCGATAATTTTTGTATGATTTTTTTCAATGCGTAGATACAATACAAAACATAATTTTATCTTAACGTCAATTCTAGGGATAAATAAACATTTCTACAATGTTGGACTTGATTACTGTCACCTGTTCAATATTTCTACAGATAAACGTTGAGCGATTTTATCACTTTTCAAACATACATGTCTGGAGTTTAACCGGTTTTGATAAAAGATTATACTCGTATAGTAAACTAGTATAAAATTAAAAATCATTGCACGTGTTCTATTTCTCAACTCTAAAACATTTATTTGATAAATTTAGTTGATTTAGTTAAGGTGGATAAAATATTACCTTTAAAAGAATATTGAGCACGATTTTTTCATCAACTTCTTCGTTAAGGATAAAATTTGATGAAACCGTGGAATCATCTAATATTGTTGAAATTGTGACGTCTTTCCCTTCAATTCTGACTTCTAATATTGGTTTTGTTGCATCTACAACTTTGGCTCTTTCTTCTGGAATACCTGAAGTATAAATTAATAAAAAATTTATAAATATTTAAAATACATTAATTGAATTTTTTTTAAATAAATTGAACAATTTAAAAAAATATAAAATATAATAAAAACAAAGTTTCAAACTTTAATTTAATAATCGATATTTTATTAAATGCGAATTTTTCTACTACTCCAGTCATGATATGGAAATATCATCGATATCGCACTTTTTCGTAGAGGGGGCTTAGTAGACGATAAAAATGTTAAAAAGTTCAGCTAATTTAGGTCTATTGTTTATGAATTTAAAAGCCCAATACTTTTCGATCGCAAATAATCATATTGCTTAAATAAATACGCTATTGATCAAAAAGAAAAGTATTGATAAAATATTTATTAAAAAAAAGTCATTGTTACTGTAATTCATTTATAACAATTGTTATAATTTGTTATAAAATATTGAATGCAAATTCAATTAAATATATTTGTACTTTTTTTGTTATAACAAAGAGTAAATGAAAAATGAAAAAACAGATGCAATTGTTCACAGATAAAATGTGATTTTGTAGGTACCTACTTATTGATAAATATTAAATTGCATTTTTTTCTTTGTATTTCTCATTTTTTCTAGTGGAAACTTCGCACTTTTTATATTAAATTGCTTATTATGAAATAACTATAGCATAAAATTAAAATACAATTTTTTGAGTAAATTATTATTTCAAAAAAATGTTAGTTATTTAATATTACGAGATGAACGAATCTAAAAAAATTATCAAAATATACAGTCGCTATCATTTTTGGTTGATTCAAAGAATAGAATAATATAAATTCCCATCCTTCCCTATAGTAAAATATTGTTATTGATCAAAGATTAAAATACTAACATTATCTTCCTAACGTTCAAATTTTTTTTATTATTAACGATTTAAAAAAAAAGTTGGAATTTTAGTTATTAAACAATTTTTTCTAATTTTCCAGATTTTCCGATGGAAATTATATTATTATGTTACTTTGTGATTGTATATACGAAGGATTTTAAATCAAGTACCTAAGTGTGTGTAGAAATTTTTTGGAGTATGTACTTTTTATCTAAATTTCTGTCTTCTTGTCGGACTGGCGTCTTAACCCGATGTTTTTGTAGGACTCTACTACTTTTCGTTCTAAAATACATTCAGGTATTACTTTTGTCCGACATGCATGTATGAGGAAGAGCGATGTATTTGGGACTATTATATCATAAGAAATAAAAATAAATTCAGATAATACGAGATACGTATAAAGTAAAATATGAATACAATAGGATGTCGCAGAGAAAAAAAGTAATGATAAAAGTTAAATTCAAAGGTTGTTCCGATAATATTACTGAATGATATTTTTGTATTTTTTTTTCTACCATTGTAACATTTTCCTAAAAATATGTCCTGAAAAAGTGGTTTTCCTTTATATACCATCATTTTTTTAAATAGACAGGCGTACAAGAGGGAGCATAAACGTACAAAAATTCAGAAGCGCCACATAGTGAGGAAAAACTTGTGAAAAACTTTAGGGATTCACGGAAAATGGTCATAATCACTATATTTTGAGCTTCTATCGACTGGATTATGATCTTAAAAAGCAAATGACAAGATACAAACATTATTTGTTTTGAAATACCTATATCTAGCTAAATACAAAATAAACAAACACAATTTCCTTGCAACTAATGAATCTACATAAAAATTCGAACATCTACCTGAAATACTTCACTGGGAACATTAAGGAGACAGCAATCCAGGGTTAAATGTACATTAAAGCGCTTGTTTATTTGAAATATGCCTTATCATACAAGCTTTGACTCACCCAATGCTGCTAGGTGCTCCCAAAACCTCTCGTTCCGGATAAGTTGAAAACGCCCACCAATTTGGACCATTTTAATAACAATTAATTAATTTTGAACGACTGTCGCTCTACTTCTCGCAACTAAGAAAGCAGTTCTAGCTGCTAACGACGAAAATAGACCGCAGATAAAAAGTTTTATCGTCTATAAAATGGAATAGGCACCACAACGTTTATCGAAATCAGGTGAGTAGTGCAACGTATCACTCGTACTTGCGATAAGAACAATTATTTTAAAATTTGGATTAATGACTGATTTAAGTCTACACGTAGAGAAGACTTATTGATAATAATTAATGTGTGAGGTAACAGAAATACAAATACATATATAAAAATCTGATAATAATTAATACTTAAGTATATATTTCAGTCTGTGTACACAATTGCATCTAAAAGTTTAAAGATCAAAATCGGACCTCTAGAAGCTGAGCTGAGAAGCTTTCGAACTCGTCGATTGAATTTCGAGCAGTTTTATATTAAATGTATGTTTTATAGATTCAGTGTTAGTATAAATAAAATCAGCACAATTTGAATTTTCGAAAGCTGTGCACGCTTTCCAACATCTACCTTTCAAATAATCAAAACTTCTAATAATTTACATTTCCCCCTATCATCAAAAACCAGTTATTTTAGAAAAAAGTTTATTGGAACCACGCACAGAAATTCGATAACGTCATTATTTATCGAAACAATGAAATAATTACCGGTCGGGAGTCGGATTAAAAATACGTCGAATAAAACCAAATTCCGATCGATACGAATAATGCAAATGCGGCTTAAAATTGAAGGGTATTAATATGTCGCACGCATTATCAAGTGCGGTATTAAATAAATGTCAACGGCGGCAATTAAATGATTATATTTGCCGAAGTGTCGCGATTACATGGACGTTTTAAATTATCATGTGTACATCTGTGTCACCGTTGTTTAGCTATAAATTGCGCCTGGTTTGTCATGTATATGTACCAACAAATAATAAATACAAGATTGAAGGGGGTGGAAATCAAATTCCAATATAATTTATTAGAGTAACGCACAGGGTGTTCTCGACAGCCTTATTCACAAAAGTGTAAGCAAAGTTAAAACATATTAAAATTCTAAAAAATAGTTTTATTCCTTTTTTATCATTCAACTATTTCATCAACTGAACTTGGGCTAGACGTTTAAATGAATCCTAAAAACGTACAATAGAAACAAAATTAAACCGCAAATGATACGCACAAATTGAAAACTATTCCACTTTGTGAGATACGGTTCTGTATGAACGCGCGTTCTTGACGGAAATCTTGCGGTTTGAGGGTGGTAGATGGGCAAAAAACAAATAGTCAAAGTTTTAGTTTTCAGTTTATGAGAATTTCGCGACTTTTTGCATAGTTTCATTTCCTCATTTTCATTGTTAAGTTCCTGAGTGTAAATGTGAGAAAACAAGGACAGCAATGGAATGAATTAAAGTTTTATTTGTGGGATAATAGGTCTGCTCCTAAAATTCCCTGCCTTTCTCTTAAACTTTGAGATTTGACAACAACGCATGCCGTAGCTCCCAAATATTCATATGCTTGCTACTACTGTGAGGTCACACTAGTCTGTCCAGTGCCGGTTAGAAACAAAATTCTGTTTTCAGGATGGAATTTTAGAAAACAAACCAAATTTTTCTTTTTAGCCAATCAATCAATCTATTAGACGAAATGACTATCTAGATACGCCACGCTAGTGTAGTCAGTCAAGAGTGCAGTGGCAAGCATTTCTCGGTCAGGCTTCCTATTCTGGTCCGGGTTCGATCCCTGGCGTTGGCACTGGCAATGTTGATGGACAATGGGTGTTTATTTGTGTTTTTTCAAGTGTAGCTCCCTTCCGCACAGCCTTTGGCTTTGGATTTGGGGGTTGTCTCATTTCTGTGGTGTGTTTTATGTTTTTTTATACATATTTTGCAAAACAAGATGTCCGAACTACTTAAGAATATGCCTTTAAGTAACGAGCGTTCAAATAAAAACGTGGTCGAAGTTGGCTCTGACACATTGGACGTAGGGAATAGCTTATAGCGACCAACTTAACCTCATTTCTCAACGAGCTGTATAGCAGTTGTCAGTTTCAATAACGTTAATGACTATATAACTTTATTTTAAAGAATAATCGTGATAACAATAACAAACAATTAAAGGAGCTGCGGAAAGTGTCCCCCTCCTTGTTATAACAATAAATTAAAGCAGCTGCTGAAAGTGTCCCCCTCCTTGTTCCAAGCACTTTTCACACCTGTTCCTCAAAGAATTAAAGACATTTTCTAAGATGCTCGGGGTATTGTTAATTTCACGAATCTTGTCTATAAGTCGAGCCTGCAGATGGTTTAAATCAGGAATAGGCAGTTCAAAAATAGTGTTTTTAAGGTAAGGCCACAAAAAGAAATCACACGGCGTAATATCACATGACCTCGGTGGAAATTCATGTTCAGCATTGAGACTTATTAGTCGATTTT